GAATTATATAATAAAATTAAAATAGCAAAATGTCATTCCACTTCAAGTACAGTAGTCCAATCAACTGAACAAAACTACAGCAGAAATCCTGCATCACAGAAAGTCAAGTAATGCCATTCTGACCTGGATGTCTGATTTAAAAGGTATGTCTTCACACCATACCAGAATCTCAAGAAGGAAGGAGAGACTGAATTGGGGTGGGAGGGAATGCTCCACAGATGGGGATCCATACCCAAGAAGGTAGAGTGTCATGAACAGCCACTGAATTCATAACTGTTATGATGATAACTTGGACCATGGAGATCTGGCTTCAGGTCCTACCTGATCACAAGTGGCTCTTCAGTTCCATTAGTAGCCAAGATTGATTTCCCTCAGTAATTTTGAAAGTATGTGGTTGAACTATACCTGTTTCAGAGAATGAAAACACTGCATTTATCTATTGCATTTATCCTTTATAAAAGGATAATATAGTTGCACTAAGCATGACACAATGCTCTCATCTCATGAAGCTACTTTGCTTGAAGCACTGATATTCATCAGAGAGAAGGAAAAAAACTTCCTGGCGATTCATACTGTTCCATCACCTTAGAAGTATGTGAAGGCTAAAAGAACAAAATGTCTTCCCCAAGGCAAAATATTTACGCACACAGAAGAAAAAGAATTTGTAAGTTTACATTGTCACTGTAACCAGATATAAGACTATTATTTTAGCACCCACTTAAACAAGTTTATCCACAGGAGGGAATGTTTTAAGAGTTTGGGGTTTACAGGCCTAATATTAAACATAAGATGAAGGAAGATTAGAAACAGAAATGAGAGATGAACCCACAAGGCTTGGTACTTAACGCAAAGCATGCACTTTATGGAAAAACTAAAATCAAAGAAAGTAAAAAGAAAGAAAGAATGAAAGTTTACTTTTAAGATTGACTTACTGCACGGTGGAAATGTTATATGTTGTCTATTTGCTTCCTTAATATTTGTGCATTGAGCCTGAATGAGGAACAATAGACGTGGCTTCAAAATCTGATAACAAATATGCTGCAAGATATTTTCATAGTAATTTAATTACTGTGGAACGTCTCTAGCCTAGTGGCAGAGCATACATTTTGGATGTAGAAGATTGCAGGTTCAATGGAAGGGCTTCAAAAGACTCCTGTCTGAAACCCTGAGGAGCTGCTGCCAAGTTAGCATAGACAGTGTTGAGCTAAATGGACCAGTGGAGTGATTTAATATAAGAAAGCTTCCTATGATCATACCGCAAAATATTATTACTGGGCAATCCCCAGGGCTGGCCCGCCCATGAGGCACACTGAAGCAGCCGCCTTGGGTGGCAGAATCAAATAGGGAGGTAGAAATAAAGAAAATTAACTACCGTATTTTTCCGTGTATAACATGCCCCCATGTATAACACGCCCCCTATTTTGGGGGACTCCAAATAAAGAAATCCCCCATATGCACTATCCGTGTATAAGACGAGGCCCCCCCCCCATTTTAAATTTGAAAAAAAAATGGGGGGAAATATAGTTTTACACACGGAAAAATACAGTCAATAAAATAAATAAAACAAACTTTCAGAGGAGTAACCTTATTAGTCTGTTTAAACAAAAATAGCAAAGTCATAACTTTGTTGCAGCATAAGCCTTTGTGCACTAGACTAGAGCTAACTTGATAATATGCATAAAGTGTTTTACACACACACACACACACACACAGAGAGATAGAGAGCGAGAGAGAGAGAGATACAAAGTTATACAATGTAAAAAGATGGCCAAATAGCCATGAAGTGCAAGATGTGCAGTCTGTGACAATTCGATGTAAGATTAAGTGTATACCGGATTTTTAAGAAATGACTTTTCCTAACAGCAATAACAAATAATAATTCAATGTTCCTAACTTTGTCATGCTGTTTGAACACCTGCTACAAAAGAAAAGAAAAACATTATCTCAATTAAGACCTAAGTAAAGTTGATCAAACATACTAATAAATTGTATTTCAGCAATTTCTAGTTCAAAGAGTTAAGAGCTGGAGTTTTCAAAGTAGTTACAAGGGCTTAAATCTGGCTGAAATGGTTGAAAAAAATAATTTTTTTGTTTCATAAAATCACCTGGACATGGGGTATAGGTTTTAAAAATTAGTAAAGCAGTTGAAACCTTTATTTTATTTTTTATTTTTTGAATTTGGAGTGAACCAGTGATTATGCACAGGATTTTTTAAATGGAGAAATTATACAATCTGTAGAAAAGATAATTAGAAGTAGGTTACTGTATGACCCAATTATGTTCTTATTAACCTAAAGCGTACTACCATAGAAACAGGAATTAATTTCAGTATTATAACAGTTGCACAGGTTTGTAATGTTAGGTACTGGAAATCATTTATAAAAAAACCACCATCACTAGGCGAATGGAGCAACAAATTTTATAACGTTGCTGTAGCTGAACAATTTATAATAGCAATAGTAATAATAATAATAATAATAATAATAATAATAATTTATTATTTGTACTCCGCCCATCCGGTTGGGTTTCCCCAGCGACTCTGGGCTGCTTCCACAAAGATTAAAAATACATTAAAATGTCACACATTAAAAACTTCCCCAAACAGGGCTGTCTTCAGATGTCTTCTAAATGTCAGGCACAGTGGTACCTCGGGTTACATACGCTTCAGGTTACAGACGCTTCAGGTTACAGACTCCGCTAACCCAGAAATAGTACCTCGGGTTAAGAACTTTGCTTCAGGATGAGAACAGAAATTGTGCTCCGGTGGTGCGGCGGCAGCAGGAGGCCCCATTAGCTAAAGTGGTGCTTCAGGTTAAGAACAGTTTTAGGTTAACGAATAAACGAATAAAGTTCTTAACCCGAGGTACCACTGAAATGGTTTATCTCTTCAACATCTGGTGGGAGGGTGTTCCACAGGGCGGGTGCCACTACCAAGAAGGCCCTCTGCCTGGTTTCCTGTAACTTTGCTTCTCGCAGTGAGGGAACTGCCAGAAGGCCCTCAGTGCTGGACCTAAGCTACACACAGTTACAGCAGGACACCTCCCTCCAAGTGGTCCACATACATTAATTACTGAAGAGAGAAACCACATCCATCAAATATATTACTTATCTTTTTAATTTGTTGTGATGCTTACTAAGTGGGTAAGAATATATTTCTGTATTTGCTGGAAATTAGTTGGATTCATTGCGGATAATGAGCTTATATACAAACTACTTTTATACCCATATATATATATATATATATATATATATATATACTGTGTATATATATACACACACTAGCAAATGGAAAATGGATCACCATGGGAGCTGTCCTAGCTTGTATGGGAACTCATGGGATGGATAAACAGTGAATGACGAGACAAAACACCTTCAGTGTCCCTTTGGTCCATGGGTGGGGGAGTAACAACTTTGGGAGGAGCTGCGTTTTAGTTTCTTGCAGAACAAATAACCCCAAGCAGCCTTGTGACACACCTGGTAGGCTGGCTCTTTGATTCATGTGCAGTCTACAAAAAACGCAGCCTGGCTCCTGCCACACCAAGTGTGCGATGTCCTTTTCACATGCCACGGGACACCTTGTCCGTGTGCAATGTGCACGGCCGGATTTAGGTTTGATGAGGCCCTAAGCTGCTGAAGGTAATGGGGCCCTTTATATGTCCAGCTGTCCTTTGTCAACAACAAATTGTCGCTTTTTTTGGTGTGGGATATATGCTATATGGTAATTTATGGAACTAATAGGTATCTAAAGCCATTTGCCACTGTTGCTGTATGTAGGTTTTATTTTATTTGTATTTTTATCTTATATTTTGGAAATGTACATCCAGGCTTCCCCCCCCCCTTAAAATTTTTTGGGGGGACCCCAAGAAAGTGGGGTCCTAAGCTATAACTTGTTTAGCTTATACATCAATCCAGCACTGTTCATCAGCAGTGTCTACAAAATCGCAGCCTGACTCCTGCCACACCAAGTGTGTGACAACCCTTTTCACATGCCACGGGACTTCTTGTTCGTGTGCAATGTGTTTGTGTGTGTGTGTGTTATGTGCGCACCCGCCCCTTCTCTTTGCCTACCAGCCTTTCTCAACCTGTGGGTCCCTAGATGTTTGTTGTACTACAACTCCCATCACCCCTAGCTAGCAAGGCCAGAGCTCAGGGATGATGGCAGTTGTAGTCCAGCAACGTCTGGGGACCCACAGGTTGAGAACCGTGATGTGTCCCTGCTCACACGTTCCAGACACGCATCGAGCTCCTCTGGAGGAGCTGGATGGGGGGGGGGGGCGTTGTGTGAACCTGTAGGTGGGAGTGTGCACAGTGTTGGGGGGGGAGTGGAGAAAGAAAGAGTGTAACTGGGAGGTGCTGCTGAATGAGCTAAGCGAGCCCTGTGCTCCTGGTTGTGAGTCAGAAGGGGACGGGGGCTCGTGGCAGAGAAACTGGGATGTGTGTGCATAAGAGGGCAACTCCCAGGGACTGAGGGGGCTAATAAAATATTTGAGGGGGCTGGGTCCCACCTCCTCCTCCCCCCGTTTTTTTTTGATGGGCATTGCATTGCGTGTGTCCTGTCATGCCCAGGCAAGGCGGCGCTGACCTGGTCCCCCAATATTCCATTCAAGTTGGCACCCCTGTGTGTGTACGAGGGAGAAAAGGGGGAGGGGTGCCGGGGTGCCAACTTGAGTAAAATATGGGGGGGCAGGTAAACGCCACCCTACATAATGGATCACAATTACGTGCACCATTTGAATGGCAATGCTGATCAATTTTGAGGAGACCAAAAGGGACCTCGGGCCCTAGGAGTTGGCGCCTATGCCAGGGTGTGTGGGGAAACGATGATGCGTCGACTTCAAATATATATTTAAACACACGGGCGCCCCGTGTTGTTGACAGGAGGAGGACCAGCTCCGGTTATCTGGCAGGCTTCACCTCCTTCCACCAGGCCCAGCGGTTGCCATGGCGACAAGGCAAGCCCGCTCGAGCGCCCTCCCTCCTTCCCCTCGCGCGCCCGCCACCCCAACGGCTCTCGCTCCCCTCGCGCCGCCCAGTCAGCCGCAGACATGGCAGCGGCCGCTCGGAGGCTCCGCGCTGCTGCTGCTGCAGCTGCGGTGCTGCTGGCGGCTGGGACGGCGACGGCCGCGAAGGAAGGTCACAGGTGAGGCGAGCGGGGCGGGGAATTGAGGTGGCAAGGCAGCCCCGGCCAGGCCTTCTCCTCCTTTCTTCTTCCTTCCCTTCCATCCTCTCCCCTCAACTCTCTCAGCCCTCTCAGGCTGAGGAGTTCCTACTGCCTCTCCTCCCCACCGGAGAGGAGGAAGGGGAGGCGTGGCCGTGGGGGGGGTCAGGACTCAGCCCCACACTTGGTGCCTCCTCCAAACCCCTCATTCCGGCATCAGGGCTCCTTCTGGACCTCACCACGTAGAACTCGTTTTGTTTCGGGCTCTTTGGCTCCCCCTGAGTATGTACAGAGTGCATCCCACCCCCCAACCCCCCTTGCCCACATCACAGCCACATTGAGGAGGTTGCTACACTTCTTGCTTGAAGGGATCAAACTTGGCCCTCCCAGTATTTTCAAGGTGGGGGCTGTGAACTGTGAGGCAGGGGAGGTCGGATGGTGTGGGTTTTGTTTTTTTAGTGGGGTGCATTGCCTGCACAGGGAAGGGGTTGTGTCCCCCCACCCCCCGCTTTCTCGCACCTTGCAAGCCCGTTTGTTGCGCCTGCCCATGTCTATCTCGCATTGGGATCCCCTTCACTGGGCCATGTGTTTATGTGAAAGCTCGTTTTCTCTCAAGAAGGGCTTGTTGAGCTGAAGAGCAAAGTCATCTTATTTTTATTTTTTAAAATTAACCCTCTTTCTTTTCTTCTACTCTCAGGAATAAATAAGACCGGAGTCGCCTGTCCGCTACACCTCTTCCTCCTCCCCTCCCCTCCCCACATCCCTCTCTTCTCCTCGCCACCCTCTAATAATGTGGAAACTCAACAAGAGCGGCAAAGTTCTCCTGGATGATTCTCCAGAGGAAGAAGAGAGCCAGTCCCCACCTCCAGCGACACCAGCAGCTACCTTCTCAGCACAGGTAAAAGGCACCAGACTGCTGACTCTGTGCATATTTGTATTTTTAGTACCTTTGCAGCCCTGGCGTCTGTCACCTTTCCTTCAGTTTTGTAGGACAGTCTCTTTCTGTCCTCCTTCCACCACCCCTTTTTACCCATGGCAGAATCTTGGCATTTTTATCTCTGATCTGGCATTATGAGTAATCACTTTTCATTCCCCTTGGATGCCTTAATAATGAGTCTTGTGGCAAGGAGGAACTGGTATGAACCAATGCTGTTTTGTACATACCCTCTGGGAAGCTGGTGTCAGTCTCTCCCTAAAACTCATGCTCAGCAGTGTTAGGACTCCTGTAGTCCAGTGACTTCATACTTCAGGCCACTCTCTTTTGTCCCTGTCTTCATCCTTAGGCATAGTCAGCGAAGGCACAAGCTCAGTTAAACACAGCAAAAAGAGTAGTGCGTTCTGGCATAGCTGTCAACGTTTCCCCTTTTTTAAAGGGAAATTCCCTTATTCCGAATAGGATTCCTCGCAAGAAAAGGGAAAAGTTGACAGCTATGCGTTCTGGTCTGTTGAAAATTCTTATGATTCTGTTGAAAATCCTTATGATTATGATTAAAGCAAAGAGGCTTAAGATTTGAGATGGAATCTGCATTTTAACATAAGTTGTTTATGTTTGAAATATGTAAGTAGTTTTGTCTCAAGTTTCCTTTACATTTAAAGTCTCTTCTTTTACCTTTTTGTACAAATGCAAGTTCCATATCAGCACTATAGTCTACTGAAAGCATTACAATTTATTGTTACAGTTTACTTTTTAAACAGAAGGGTGTGAAAGAGGAGGAAAATGAATTGTATCATAAGTGGATGGATGTATGACTTATGTCCTGATCCAAAACATTGATTTCAAAACTTATTTAACTTAGTGAAACGTAAGTGGCGTACCTGGAGTATAAGTTTAGATCCATTAATTATAAATAGTTCATGTATTAAGACGCTACTAATTTAATTGGGATGTATGGGTTTTCTTTTTAAATGTAAAGTTTAAAGAATTCTGAACAGTACAAAATGTTGAAGGTAACTTGGGCAGTATCCAATGCTCCTGTTCTTCTAGCACAATGGATGTGTACTAGCAGAACTTTTCCACCCTCTTCTCTCTACCGCAGCCCTTTGTGTACCCCTAAAATCAGATCCAGAGGGTTGGGAACCCCTTTAAAGAATGTTGGGTTGGGGGGGGATGGAAGAATTGGAAATAGAGGTGCCACTGCACTGAAGGCACTGCTTTGGAGACAACCCCTTGTATTTAAAACTTTTAAAGGTTGGATTTAGGTTAATGTTTGAAAATATGAAGATTATTTAGAATTAAGAAATATTTATCCGACTGAATCCAACCATTTAGGTCTCAGTTCCAGCACTTCATATTTTGACCTGCTTTAAAAACAAAATCCTTGTAAAATACTCATAATCAGGAAATATCAGCACTGAAAAACAGGATGAAGACAAGTGAACAATTTGGAGACTGAATTGGTGGCCTGCACATTCTCACCCCAATTCAGATAAGAAGAGTCATCATGTGTAGGCTTCTACTACATATCACTTGTTAGATCAGGAACTGTGGGTGTAGATAGGATGTGAATCTAAATGCACATCCAAATTTGGACATTCTCTATCCAAGCTTCCACAATGCTTTACTTTTCCTCATACAGTATCTACAACTCCACTCACATTCTGCATAGGACTAGAGGTGTGTCAGAATGCTTATTTGTTGCTGAGCAAATTCCTTTTACTAGAATTGCAGCCCTATGCACATTTACTTAGAAATTAGACTCACTGAACTCAGTGAGACTTATTTCTGAATAAACATGCAGAGGATCAACCTGCAGATACATTGCAAAGAGAACTGCTGTCCTGGCTCTACAAGCCTGAGATGCCACAGAAGTTGTGAAATCAAGTACGCGAGGCATCCTAATGCAGAGTTAGTTCACTAATAGCTAGTACTCACTCCTTGTAATTCCAAGCTTCTTGTCTTAGATAGTTCTGACCACAATAATAATTACCTGAACATATGTTGTATGTAATTGTTCATGAGGAATATGATTTGGATTTGTTGATAAAATATAATGAAGCAGCTTGCCTGTTTTGCTGGCTAATCCACAACTTGGTTACAGTAAAGTGCTTGGATTTAGGTTGATCAGAAGTTTATCTCAAATTGGGCTGTAGATAAACAGTAGCTTGCCTGCAGTGTGGAGGAGGTAGAAATGGGAGAATGTATGTTGCTCCCCTTCTCCTTGGATTCAGAGATGGGCAGAGTTGGGTGGGACTGGATTCTATTACAGTTGTACTTTCAAAATAGTTTGCTTTGGTCTGCTTCAGCATTTTTGTTAAAACGGTGTTCCATTGCTAGGTTCTATAATAAATACATTTTTGAATAGCAGATTAATGTTCAAAACATTCAGTAACTAAGCCTGTAATAAACTGCTATAATAATGCCAATAACACGGAGAGCTGTCTGCTTGGTTTTCAAAGACCAATAGAGAGCTACTACTGTGAACAGTAACAAGGACTCAACCTGCCAACCTTAATCTCCTCATTGGATAGTAGGTACAAAAGAAATGCGGCTTGAGACTCATTTGCTTCTAGAATCAATGGTTAACTGGCTACTAGAAATGGTTGACTGCTAATCCCAGCCAAAATATGTGGACCTTTCCGCTCTACTCAATCAGGAGATTTGTTCCTAATAGCAAACTAGCAACTAGTGAACTCAGCTTTTTCATTTTTTGATGTGTAGCAATCTTACTCCTCCAGTCCATGACATGTTTGCCGTCTTCCATCACATGACACATCCTCAAGGCTGTGTGAGACAAAGGAATGTAGTGAAACCTACTGTGCATAGTAGCTCCATAGGTCATCCTCTTTGCTGGTTGTGCATTAATGAGCTATTTCTGAAAAAACTGGGGAAATGAAACTTTACACAGTATTACTAACTTCTGTTTAATCAACTGATATTATACTCTGCTTCCCCTCGTAGGTGCTTGATGTGAAATCATACATGTTGCCAAATAATTGGAGGAAACACATTTCATAAACCTATCTAATATCTGGGATCTTGGGGTAGCAAGAAGCTTTTTAATGGTCTCCTCTATATCATGGTTGCACAATTTCTCCTTTATGTAGTCAGCATCTGCATGTTACTCCACAATTTTCACCTGAAGGCGTTGCCAAATCTTCTGTTACATAGAATCATAATCACTGGGGGATTTTGCCATATCATTTTAATATAACATCAACAATGAATGTTGTAGAAAAGCATTCTGATGGGATGAAAGCAACTATTTACCGTGCCAAAATGGACACATGAGGACTAAGGGCCAAACTAGTCAAGTTCCTGTCTCTTTAAATATGGTTGTGTGTGTGTGTTGCGGAGAGAAAAGTGTAGTTAAAAGGCATAGTTGATAAATTGGTGTGGATTGTATTTTGGATTTGCAGTAGATCTCCTAATGCATCATTTTATTATAAGCTGTTTCATTATAAGCTGTTTTGATTGGTATAATAAAAGAAAAAAGTGAAGGGTATACTACTGCTGGCCCTGGATGCACAAACGGTCATATGGAGACACCCCATAGAAGCTTTTAAATAGCCTTCCTGGGTTATTGCCAGGTTGATTTAACATTTCTGTTTCATATAGCATTGTAGCCACATTGTAATCCCCAAGTGAAGGTCTTTATCGCTTCTTCTGGGGCATTTTGAACTTCTTTGCTGTCCAGGCTACTCCTGGAAAAATGGGAACAGAGCCATATCTGGAGTCATGAAGAACAAGATACTGGATATTCCCAAGGGAGGTGCATGAGACTTTGTCCTGGAGTGTAGGGACTGGATGCTATATTGCATGCCCCAGTATTATGGCAGCTACTGGCTTCTATGGGGAAGCTCAGCACACTCTTCTATGCATTCAGGGCCACAGGACTGCACCCTTCATCTTTTCAGCTATTCACTTAATCAAAAAGGTTAATGTTACAGACACAGCAATAAGAGAGCCAGCAGGATTTCAGTCACTATTATGCTCAGTCCGAAATAAAACATCCCAGCTCCTTCATATTCAATCATATTAATGGAGTTCCTGTATAGATAGTGTGTGTGTGTGGAGGGGGTGTCTTCTAAAGCTGCTTATATATTATAGAGTGGGAGTCTGTGATTGTCCCTGCTAGTGTACTGCAGCCTGTGAAAGTTGTCAGTGATGTGTCAAACTCTAATACTTGTATTGACAGGGTGTGTTTTTTAATTTAGTTAATGTAATAAGATAAGTATTGAAAGCAGACTTTCATTTTGAACTTTGAGAATGAGCTGCCAGCTTGATTCTCCTACCCTGAAATTAAAGAAAGTGAAAAAGATAGAAAAAGAGCTGAAATTTATTGATGTTTCCCTTTGACCTGTTTTCCTTTGATCTTGTATTATGTTGTACTTAAGCAGCAGAAGTGCAGAGACATGTTTCATATTAATTGCAGCTTATGACTGCTCAGTGAATGTTTCATAAGTTGGCCATGCAATTTTATCTGTATATTAATTAATTACTTTAAAACTCTTTTTTATACAATTTTGACACTAGCTTTTATGTTAACTGAAGGAACTTCAAGAGAGTCCCCGAGGGTATAGGAGGAGATCAGTACCTTCCAGATGTACTTTAGAAAGAAACATCAAATGAGAGTAATGAAGTCAGATTTTTATACAGTACGCAACAAAGAAATTGTTTGAATTGGGAAAGTAACATTTTGGGAAAAATCCAGATGAAATTACCAGTAAATAAATTCTCTTGAAATCGGAGAATTCCAAATGTGAACTACATGCATTGATAAGATGTGCCTAATATTCCCTAGATTGCACAATTTGTCTTTTTACCTTCAGAAGTAGCATGTGATATGCAACAAAAATTCCTTTGCAATGTATTTTCACCGCCCTGTAAGAATTCAGAGCTCCCTATTCCAGCCAATCAGCCACACCTTCCTCCAGGACACTAAAGATTGCCAATTCACTCTCCCTATCCCCCACATTTCTCTATTTTTCTTTTTAAAGTGACAGTCCACGTTCCTAAAGGCTGAACATGCTTAGTCCCCCCTGGACTGATTTGGGATGATGGTAACTCAGCCCTTTTTGGTGGTTTCAAAAATCCCCCCAACGGTATTATTTATTAAATTTATATGTTGTCTAACTTCCAACTAAAACAAGAGTGACATAAATACATTTAAAAAAATCAATACAATAACATTGATGCTACAATGTTGTTAAGTCCTTGCTCTTGTTTCTCACTTCCTATTTTTTTTTACTGCAAACCTGCTAGCACAAGACTTTGTGTTTACTATTAGAAGTGATATTCTGCCAGCAGGTACTTCTAACACTTGTAAAGTGAGGGAAAGGGAGTTGAAGGAGTGCCTGCAAGCACAAGTGTAGAAGTGGGGTGCTTGCCTGGGTAGGAGGGGCTGTTTTTTTGTTTGAAATCACCCACCACCACCATCACCTTACAAGTGCTTGGTGATTATCCCTATCTCAAGGCTGTCATGTTTATCATAATCCTGAGGCTATATCTTCTTAGTGTCCAAAATTCTAACTCTTAAGTACATATCCCAAATTCTCTATCAGAATTAACTATGCAAATAAAATTCTTGACTTATGTACTGATCTTTTTGCTTCATTTAATTCCTGTCAATCAGGCATGTAACCTGAGAGCTGTTTTCATCTCTCAGACCTACACTTTTTTGTAAGCTTAACACATTTTTGCTGACCTTGTTGTTTCGTGTAGCTGTAAGATGAGATATTGCGCCCAATTTCAAATATTTCTGAGCACTGTGCTCTAGTAGTGGCCCACTGCTAAGATCTTAGAGAAGCCCACATCTGGGAAGGAGATGCTCTATTGAGATGGATTAATTACTATCCCTTCGTCTTAACCACCCTTTTGTGAGTGGTAAAACTGCTTGTAAGAAGTGTGTGGTCTAAGGCAGAGGCTTGTCCCTTAATATAGGCAATAAAAGATACTGTGGTCACATTTACTGACCAATGTGACCACAGATCGCTTTTCAAGTTAGGCATGGTTGCTCCAAGATGCCTTTTGTTTTAAGTACTTCCAGGCTGGGCAAAGCTTTCCTTGGAGACAGGAGCTCCAAAGTGTCATGAGCAAAAGGTGGGAACTGATGCTGTATTCTTTCAGGAAATATACTTTATCCCTATGTGTGTGCATGGCATAATATAAGGGCTGGAATTGCCTTACTCTTTTTCTTACAGATTCATAGAGTGACAGTACATGTTACTTCAGCAAATACATTTGCTAGTACTGGGGCTGGGGTATCCAAAAGGAAGAATCAATGGGGGGAAAGGAGTATTTGAGTCTTCATTTGCCTGCATTTCCCCCCCCATGCAACTTCTACCTCTCAGGCTTTTTCTCTCACTTATTTCCACAGACTTTCCCTCACTCTTAGAACTGGGGGGCAGGCGGGGGGGGGGAATGGTCCACTGAAAGGATTATGAGTGAGAATTGTCAGGCGGGAACATGTTAAGTAATACTCTCCTGTCCACTGATTCTCCCCCTGCTAATAGTGATGCCCCTCCCCCTCCACTGTGCATAAGCATTATGGGACAGACATGGAATTGCGAATTTTCTAAACGAAATAAAAAAAGCTATAAAATGCTTAACCAGGTTTCCATTTATGATTATCCAGACAAGGAATTCTTTATTTTTACAACCAATAAATTTGTGCAAGAGAGAAGGTGCAGGAGAGAAACATATTGGAAAGGATAAACTTTATTTAGGATGCCCCCCAATTTTCTAAATCAGTTATATCTTGATTAATGGTGCACTTTTGAATTTTAACATCCAGACTTTGTTGTATGAGGGTCCACAATTTGTTTTTCAGTGCAGACCCAGCTATTAAAGTGAATGATCAAACAAGACTGGTTTATTATTTAACCACAAAAGAAGCAGAGGAAAAGTAGATCTAGAGTGTAATCTGTATACAAAAGAGATCTGTGTGCTTGTTGAATTAATCCCTCGAGCACCTTATGGTTTGCAGAATACTCAAGAAAAGAGCATTTGCACATTCCTCTGGAAGCACGCTGAATGTACTTCCACTGCCAGAAGTGGAAGGTTGTTGCCAAGGCGTTAAATCAGGATTTCTTTACTGCATAGAAAGCAGCCATTAGTTACCTGTTCATTAACAAAAGAATGTTAAAATGTTCAGTAGTAAAAACACTGTTCAAAATAAAAGTAAGAGGCAATTTCAAGCTCTCGTCATAAAAACATACTAGCATAAGGGAAACTAAATATTAGATACACAGGTAAAAAACTAATATCCTCATAATATTTGGGGAAAGAAATACAACCTGTTAATAGATATGTGTTAACATTAGGGCACTAGCTTAAAATAGGCCATTGAAAACATAGCTGCATATCCTGAGTGTTGCCCATCACATCCATTGGTGTATGGGAGCTTTGTTGCATACTTGGGCCTTCCCTGCCTGCAATAATTTATAATGGAGGAATATACCATTTCTTTGGAAACACTGATCTGCTTCTTATGTTGGAATGATTAGAATGGCTTCCAAGCAAGAGGCCCAAAAGTGTATTTGAGAATACATGAATCTCTTGAATTGATGTACCGTAATTTGCAGAACGTTCCTGCAGGAAACATTCCATATTTAGCTGTGCTTGAAATTTCCTCATAGCCATTGCATTTGCTACAGAATCATCACCCTGGTTTTCCTTCAAGGAAAGTAATATAGATTACTACTGCTTATAGGGAAGAACTCTGAATGAGAACTTGGCTTGAATGCTGTGGACAGGATTGCTAATCGGTGGTAAGACTGTTCCCTAAACATAATGCCCCTGCCATTTTATTGTTGTCATATTCTGTGGCTTACCTCAGACAGAGATAAAGAATGCCACATATTGAATTGTTATTACTACTTCCTGCGGTGCTTTGTTTTTATTGGAAATATGCATTTAGTCTTAGAAGCAGGCACAGCCTGTTGAGCAGGCTTGACCCAGGCAACTAAATTTATGAGAGCTACATGGATTTTGCTTGAGGAAATATACCCATCAGTGTGAAAAGGCAATCTGCAAAATATGGTGCTCAAAATAGTTCCCTGTCCCCCGCCCCTGAGGTAATTTATAACTACAGTACATCTATTGTAATTTTTTGAAAATCTGTTACTATGTTTTACTTCTCAGATAGGAGCAGGAGTGTATGTGTGTAGTCCTTCACCTTTTCCTTACCTGGTAATTTTACACTCAAAATCCCCAAGCTCCTCTTTCTACAATCCAGGGAAAAGATACCCATGACCCCATGGAAAAGCCAGTAGCTTTGAGAGGGGTTTTTTTGTTGTTTGCAGAAAAATCGTATTTGGGAGAAAAGGTTTAGGCAGCCTTTCTTCCCATAAAAGTGCAGTAGAGCAGTATAGGAAACTTAATATAAAAGTAAAGGTAAAGGACCCCTGACAGTTAAGTACAGTTGCGGATAACTCTGGGGTTGCGGCGCTCAACTCGCTTTACTGGCTGAGGGAGCTGACGTTTGTCCACAGACAGCTTCCGGATCATGACTAGGCTGCTTCTGGCGAACCAGAGCAGTGCACAGAAACGCCATTTACCTTCCCGCTGGAGCAGTACCTATTTATCTGTTTGCACCTGATGTGCTTTTGAACTGCTAGGTTGTCAGTTAATATAGGGATGCTTAAATATATTCTCCTAAGCACTGTGGTCTAAAAATCACTGAGCCTTGGGCTTGCCAATCAGAAGCTCAGCGGTTCAAATCCCTGCAACGGTGTGAGTTCCCATTGCTCAGTCCCAGCTGCTGCCAACCTAGCAGTTTGAAAGCACACCAAAAAGTGCAAGTAGATTAAAAGGTACTGCTCCGGCGGGAAGGTAAATGGCGTTTCTGTGTGCTGCTCTGAGGTTGGTGTTCCGCTGTGCCAGAAGCGGCTCAGTCATGCTGGCCACATGACCCAGAAAAACTGTCTGCGGAGTGGACAAATGCCGGCTCCCTCGGCCTGCAAAGCGAGATGAGCGCCCCAACCCGAGTCGTTCGCAACTGGACTTAACTGTCAGGGGTCCCTTCACCTTTACCTTTACGCAATTAAAACATGCAAGTCTTTATAGCTGCTTTACATTAAAAACAAAAACTGCCAGAAGACATGTCTCCTGTACAGCATTTAGTTTTTTACCTGTGTGTATCCGAAAGTGAGGCTATAGAAAGGCACTGTAGATCAGAAATATCCCTGAGATGTTTCTGCAAGGTTGGGAGGGTTTATCTGGATCAGTGGTAACAATTTGCTTTGTTTATTTTTTCTTAGGCATAATGTTGCTCTTCAGTAGTTCAACTGGGTGTGTACAGTGACTTGTTTTTTTGTTAAACAGCAGTTCTTCCAATGTTATTCAGAGCATAAAGTTTTCTGAGTGACTTTCAGCCTGTCATTTTCTCTCAGCCTAACCTGCCTTCCAGGACTGTTGTGAGTGTGAGGTAGGAAAGGGAGATATTATTAAGCTCTGTAGTGAGTGTATGTTTAGCAGTATGAGGTAAGCGTGAGTGAAGGTTAGCACCTGAGATACCATCTACAACAACTGTAATTGGAGAGGAAAAGTTTGATTTAGGAAATTTCCAAATTGCAAAAGAAAATGGATTGTTATCAGATCTGAACTGGATAAAAACATTTGAGCAAGCTGCAGAAAAGTTAGCAAAATCTACCCTTTTCAGTTTTTACAAATAACCTCTTATCTAAATGAGATCAGGAAAAATTACCAGCTAGATAGAGAAAATACTTACACTGAAACTATGTTATAAAAATCTATCAAATGCTCATAAAAATATCATTGGAGAACATTACAAAACATTTATCAGAAAAACCAATACAGTGAAGTGGAAAGTGTTTTATTTTATATTCTATAACTGTCACTATATCTAAAGACTGTAGGATTATCCAGCTTGTTTTGAAGGTTCATTTAGCTGCTCATATTTAGCTAATCAGGAAAATATCAAGGTATATTTTTATAGTGATATGAAGATAGTTTTAAAAGGACTTGAAGTGCATTTCATGTTGTGCCAAGCCAGGAAAAGAATGGAAAAGTTGGTTTTACAGTGCAATACAATTCTGAGCCTCTGGCTACATTTTCTGTGAATTACACACTTTGGTAGCTGCATTAATTATAATAATGGGTTTAGCCAGAAAGGTGTGCTGTTTCATCTTTGATACTGGATATGGTAGCATAAAGTTCATATACAAGGGAGTGTCTGCATTTTGTTTAAATCAGAATACTACTCACTTTTCCAAAGCTTGGTTCGTTAGTCTATAGATGTAGGGAGAAGGTGGTAGCTGAATGCAGCCCATTTATTACATACACACAAATTTAAAACATGGATGAGATAACGAACAAGGAACAAATAGTACTACTTAAATGCTTACCAAAGGAGGTTGTGATCTGAAGCATATATGTTTGGAAGCAACTTCCATCAGTTATAATGCACTTCAAAACAGAAATGTTTAGAACTGGAATGCCAATGTGTAATATATAGTGGTGCTTTAATTTAGCAGATTAGGACTCCCTTAGGTGATTCTAAGCACATTTCAGAAAAACTATGACAGCATCTATTGCTTGCATACAAACTGTACTGACAGTAGACCTTTGTAAAACTGCTACCTGGGCATAGATCCACATATTTAGAAAACATTTTTCTTTGGCTCCTGTTCATATGCCAAATTTGGAATAACAATTTTACAGTCGCCGTTTGCCTTGTACTCCTCAGTCACCATCTGGAGAGTATGCTGCTGTTTGAGCCTCCATCTGTGCGACTATTAAGAGGTTGTCAATGAAAGGGGAAAATTGTTACTGATAACTGCTCTTTTAATGAGAGATATTCTGTATACCATTTCAGAAGCTTCTAAGTTAAAGGTTGCTCAGTTTAAGACTGAGTTGAGATACGAAGGAGCTGAGATACTGTATAAGCACCCAACTCTTCCCTATATTTATTTGCTCTTACACATGTTTGAAGGTGAAGGGAATGTTTTCTAATGGATATTCTGAATTGGCTGTGGTTTCAAGCCGCAGAAGAGTAGTTACATGTTAGAAATTGTGATGGCTATAAAATCATTTTTGAAGACCAAGCATCATGTGGTTAGCACAATTGCTGCATAAGCACCCAGAACTACTTATGACTACTGGTCATTACCTCACTGACCCTTCCCCATATTCCTTAGTGACCTACCCACCCACCCATTTAAAGTGATACATCCTGGCTTTCTGGATTCTTGAATCTTAAGAGGAACTTCTGCTGGGAAATCTTTTTAGCATATTAAGTGAAGGGGAATACTCCTTCATCACTTAACTATGGGACACTGGTGAACACAGCCTTTTGCTAGAAGCTGGTGCCCCAGATGCTAGTGAGAAAGCTTTTGAGTTCCCCACAACACTTTTAAAGTTGGATATTAAGCAAAACAGCAATAGTGGGGAGAAGAGAGAACAGCTGGACATGATGTAAATGATCCTAAGTCTGCAGTCTGTAACAGTCTTAGGACAAAGTGCAGGAGATGCCACAGAGACATAATAAGACCTAGGGGCAAAACAGATTTCAGGTTGCACCAAGGACAATTTTGATGAAGAAGCAACAATGGCTGTTCCACTATCTGTATGTGTAAAGACCAGCAGTTAGTTGGATCTACTTCCAGCACTCAACTAGTTCTACAGTTTTTGTGTGTATTGGAGAGCGCCGAAAATAGTTGACCAAAGCTACTACTGAAATATAGAATTTAGCTTTTGAGCATTTAATGGCCTCTAACCATTAGATGGCACTACCCATTTTGGCTTGTAATGATTTTTTAGAACAGGGGTCAGCAAACTTTTTCAGCAGGGGCTAGTCCACTGCCCCTCAGACCTTGTGGGGGGCCAGACTGTATTTTGAAAAAACAACAACAACCCAGAGTGAATTCCTGTGCCCCACAAATAACCCAGAGATGCATTTTAAATAAAAGCACACATTCTGTTCATGTAAAAACACCAGGCAGGTCCCACAAATAACCCAGAGATGCATTTTAAATAAAAGGACACATTCTACTCATGTAAAAATACGCTGATTCCCAGACCATCCGTGGGCCGGATTTAGAAAGGGATTGGGCCGGATCCGGCCCCCGGGCCTTAGTTTGCCTACCCATGCTTTAGAAAGTACACCACCTAAAATTATTATCCAGCTCTACTGCTGCTTCGGAGAATCTCTGTATGCAGAAAAGGTGCCCAGCACAGTGAAGTGTATATTTGTTTTAAATTGAAGAATGGGAGTTTCTATGGAAGAAAGTAAACTATGGACATTTAATCTATGCATTTATAGAAATATCTGTGGTTCTAATTAGTGCTTAATCATTATTAAAGTTTCATGAACTCTCTGAAACTGAAAACTGATTACAGTTTCTAATTTTTCTTTTTCTTTTAAGAATAAAGATCCATGTTTTCATAATGAAGTTACATCCTCTGTTTCACAAATTGCAACAAAGGTATAAGCTTAATATTGAGATATGAATTCAAACTTGTTTCACACAGTATTTCCCTTTCCTGGATATTTTACAGTGCACCAACTTTTTCTGGGTAGGCTGACAAACAACATTCCTCTATTACGTCTTCAATGAGTCGACTTAATTGTTTTGGTATTAGAGTCACAAGCATTTTGGTCTTTGGTTTTTCATATGTTCATCACATGGTTTAACATTTGAAAAAAATATGAATAAATAAAGAATCCTAATAGGAGTTCATTAAAGCAGTTGCAGCACTGATTTATTTTGCCCTTTGAATCTTAATTTTAATGCTTTGATGTTTAACCTTTGTACTGAAAGAGCTAAGATTGCTCTGAATAAAATTACATATGGATATGTAGTTAACAGGCTGATCTTAAACTTCGTATTTCAACTTCTAGCAGATTCGCATGTAGGAAGAAACACAACAGTAGCTATGATTTTACAAAACATTCTATTATGGCAGTAATAGAGAAATATTTTGTTGGCATGACAAGCCGACCTGCAAGATTGCAGGTACAAATATTTCGAGTCCATGTGTCAGTATAATTAAATAATACACAGTGAAAGGTCAAATTAAGTGTGTGCAAGTAAAAATTTGACATTTTCTGACTTTCAGATGATTAATCTTACAGTGTATTTATTATTATTATTTTAAGTATAATTTTTCTTCTTTTCAAAATTAGAAATGATAGAATTGCAATGCTTTCTTTCCTCTCCACTCATGAGATTCATGAATCACCAGCTGGTGTCTTTTTTACAGTCTTAATTATAACATTTACTGCCTGAAAGTACTGAAATAATTAACACTCGAGACTGGGATTACACAACAAGGTTCTTGTAATAATGTAACTTTTACATAATGTGGTGTTATATGAGCATGGCTGCTGCCTTCCATTTCTGATTCTTCAAAGTGCTCTGTTCTAGTGGCACATCACCTGAACACCTGAATGCCCACTTTAGGCTGCAGATCATTTGCATGCCCAACAAAGTCAGACTGAGAGTGTATCTTTCCACAATACCTCCCACTTCTGAAACCTTTATTTTTAAGCTTACGCTTCTTTTTTTTAAAAGTGTTTAGCAATTCACAATAAAAGCCACAAAAGGATATGGAATGTCTCCCATTCTTCCCTACTTCCTGTCTTCCATACGCATTCCTTTGAAATGTGTTATTCTTAGGTGTTCTCAAAGTAGTGCTTTTCCTTTTGTTCTGAAGTTTGAATGAGGCCTCTAGGTGTTTGTATTCTGTTATTATTCTGAAATGCTGCCAATTTCCCCCTTAGATTAAAACAAGACTCAGATTTTTACCAATTCATTATTCACAGGAATGTCTTGAGGACACATATTGTCATTTCCAGAGACCTTAAACCTAGCGAATTGTCAAGTCTTCTCCTTGAAGCAGTTTTCTTAGGTGCCAGACCTATGGACATGATTTTGTGAGAAGCATGATAGTTAGTGTGGAAACTGCAGTGTCACAAATAGTGGCCAAGGCCCTTTAAAAAGAATATGTAAGTTCACGTTCTGTGTATGAGGATATGGGGCACAGCTGCTATATCAGAGTTTCATTCTTAACTCAGTGAAACATGGTTTGTTTCTCTAGCACATGTTGTTTGCCTTTTGTAGGTAGAAGAAGCCTATTCATTGTAAGAAGTGGCACTTGTGTGACTTGGATCTGACTAGAACATTTCTTAAGAAGAAGCTTTCTCAGAATCTCAAGGCAGACTGCATGAGCTAATCACTGTAAATCAAGTGCGACAATATGTTCAAACCCTGTCAAATGGTTTAATATTAATGAAGAGCTTAGGCCAATCAGTCTGATCTCTATGTCTGACACATTGGTGCTTGACCTCAGGATGCAGTCAGTGATCTAGAGTTTCCTCCTGAAGGACACCTCACTGTAAGGTGGAGTTCAAGTTGAGATTTGAGATTCAGACTGCGAGAATGAGTGAACAGGATATATATGGCCACATGTTACCCATTGGCTGTCTGATGCAGATGAATTAAGGTAGGCTAGCAATGGTTTTCAGTTAGTGGGTCACAACAGCAGTACTGCCACCATCCAAATAGACAGTAAATAATAATAATAATAATAATAATAATAATAATAATAATAATAATAAATTATTTTACCCTTCCTATCTGACTGGGTTGCCCCAGCCACTTTGGATGCCTTCAAACATATATGAAAACATAATAAAGCATTACATATTAAAAGTCCACAAATACATTTGGGGCCACAAATTTGGGTCTATAAATATATGTTTAGGTTAGAGGTGGGTCCCAGGTCAGGAAAGCTTGAAGGGCTTATCCTAGTAACAGCCCTTTCCCCAGCCAGGAAGGCAATACTTTCTCACCAGCAACATGTATGCAAGTCTGCCTGTCCCCTTGTTTTGAATTACTTCTTTTTCCTTGTTGTTTTCTACAGAATGTTTTTGCTGGCATTTCAACATCAAATTATCCTAGCTTTCTTCTTGTTTTGCAGCTTGTAACTTATGACACTGAAAAAATATGACACCTTGTTGTGGCCCAGGACTTGTAAACATTTCCACAGACGTGATCTAGATTTTAGTCTGGCATGCTTCCAGGAAACAAGATAATCCACATACCTGCTCAATAGAAGAGGGATTTTTTGGGGGGGGGGTCACAGTAGGGATTGCTATAGAAGATATGCTAGACCAAAGGTAAAGAGTGTTGTAATTGAGGGGAGGAGTTTGTTAGTAACAGGTAAAAGTACCTACAATAGAAGAGTTTTGTATTCAGGAGAGAAATGAGCAGTGTCGGTGAATGCTGAATCCTAAGTATGCTGGTAAGAATTGATTTATTTAGGAATAGAACTTCAGTTGGAGACTAAGTATGAGTCTCTGTCTGTCTGTCTCTTTCTCGTTTTCTTACTGGAATTCTACCAAAATAATGTATGTTTTCAAGGATCCTTGGGCTACAATTTTATACTCACTTACCTGGGAGTGAGCTCCATTGAACTCAGTGAGACTTACTTCTCTCTATGTGTGATTGCATTGTTAATCTGAGGTGAAATAGTTGAAATAGCTGTTTCCTTTTGTGGCACAGAAAAAATGAATTCTGTATTTATCCAGTGATGAAAGGAGGAAGGACAACTTCACTACCCAAGAGAATGGGAATCAGTTGAAAAGTAGAAGTTGCTTTTTCCATTCAGCCATTGCTAGGCTGGTCCAGGTGCATGGTTGTGTTGAAAAGAAGGATTTGATGCCAAAGCATTTTATGTTTTGAGTATATCGCTACAAGAATATATCTGGGAGAGCTACAACCCTAGGCAAAAAAAGGCACACATTCTATTAAGTGATAAATCTGTGTTCCAGAGTCATACGAGTAACATCTAAAACAGCAGAAGCACATCACAATTATAACACTTCAGAGCCTGTCCATATTGTATTTGCAGAGTTGACAGTCTTTAAGTTTAATGTTACTAAGTCTTCGTTACCTTAGTTTGGTATCAAGGGAAAGAAATGCGTCTAGTTCCAGCTCTGCATTGTTATAGCCAAACTAAGCCTTGATAAAACAGGCCTAGTTCAATAATAACGGAGTCTCTTGTCAGTTGTGGTTTTTCTTTTCTCCATAGAACAAGATTCTTACTAGTATTTCCATAATTATTTATTTAATATTTGTTTTTCAAGTCCCAGGAACAATACTGAAAACTTATGCTCGAGTTACATAAAAGAATGGAGGCACGCTCCGGTACATGCCAAATGGCTATTGCAGAGGCAGTTCAGGATCCGTCCATTGTTCCCATTACAGTTCTGCTAAACTGATTAAACATTAAGCAATCCAACATGGCTGTAGTGAGGGAGAAATTACTCTTTTTGCACCCCTGGATAACACTATCTTTTGTGATCTTTTTATTCATGTGGCTTCAGTGAGGCTCCAATGGACATTGCTCGGGCTTGGAGGATAATATTTTTTAGAAATAGAGAGAGAATTGATTGAGGTTTTGAACAAAAACTGTGCTCAGCAGGGGCTCAAAAATGTTAAGGATTGTGAGGCCCATTGATTTAGATAGCAGCGACATAAGCATGCTTTAATTTTCTCATTAGCACCAGAGCAACTTAAAACACTTCGGTTGAATCACGCCATAGAAGTTTTTGTAATAATAAACAACAATTTCATAACATTATACTCACATTCATTAATCTGGAATAACTACCATATTATCTCTCCATGGCAGAGAGTGCCTATCAGCAACTTCAGCTGGTACATCAACTGCACCCTTTCATAGACAGGGATAGCTAAGCCACTATGATACCTGCACTATTAACCTCATGTTTAGACTACTATAACATGCTCTATGCAGGGCTTCCCTTAAAGTTAGTTTGGAGGTTGCAGCTGGTTCAGAATGCCACAACCTGAGTGGTGGGTGGTATCCCTTTTGGGGCACAGATCATACTCATAGGAAGGGATCTTCACAGGCTAAATTTAAGGTCTTGCTGCTTACTTATAAATTCTTAAACAACTCTGGATTAGGTTACCTGAAAAACTAGTTCCCCTCCATTGCGCTATAGGAGCATTAAGATAATCAAACAGAACCCATTTTGTCTTGCTATGGCCTGATGATAACTGACTTGTGGTGATGTGGAGGCAACCTATTCGCTGGTGGTGCCAGTGTTATGGAATGTAGTCCCCACTGAAATATAGGAGGCCCCAAATGTATTTACATTCCACCAACTGTTAAAGATCCACCTGTTTAGATGGGCCTTCCCTTGATCTCCCAACTTGAGTCTTCTGTTTTAATGACTAGGTTCTTTTAATTGGATTTTTATTGTGCATTTTAATTATGAATAGTTATATTTTAATGCTTGTGTAATCAGTTTTTAAACAACTTTGAAGCCTATTTTGCCCCATGATGTACAAAATTCATCTGTAAATACTTCCAAATATTGGTTATAAAGATGTTGATTCTTAACATACAGAATCCGAAAGTGCTAGCTGGTGCATTAAGCTATACCGCCCATCTTTATAAGATAATCATTGCAGCGTCACTGGCTGCATTGTTGCCCCTGTGTTTCGCAAGGTGACATCCCCCATTCTTGAAGAAAGGCGAGGCTCGGAGCAGCTCTGTACTAGGCTCACCTTGAAGTAATTGTTCCAGCCTCTCGTGGCTGTCATATTGTATGGCTGCCACAAACAAATATCGTGCATATCTGGATCCATTCCAGTCCGGCTTCTGCACTGGTCATGGGACCGAGACGGCTCTGGTCGCCCTAACAGATGATCTCCGCAGGCAGCTGGATCGAGGCGGGTCAGGGCTGCTGATTCTTCTAGACCTGTCAGCAGCCTTCGACATGGTCGATCACGAACTCCTGGACCACCGCCTTGCCGACGTGGGGATCCAGGGCACAGTCTTCAATGGCTGCGCTCGTTTCTCTCTGGTCGGGGACAGAGGGTGGCGCTTGGGGGGGAATTGTCATCGCACCACTCCTTGGTGTGTGGAGTGCCTCAGGGTGCGATACTCTCCCCGATGCTTTTTAACATCTTTATGCGCCCCCTCGACCAGCTTGTCCGGAGTTTTGGGCTGGGTTGCCATCAGTATGCCGATGACACCCAACTCTTATCTGTTGATGGATGGCCATCCTGACTCGGCCCCAAACACACTGACCAGATGTTTGGAAGCTGTGGCTGGATGGTTACGTGGAAGCCGGTTGAAGTTAAATCCTTCGAAGACAGAGGTCCTCTGGCTGGGACGGGACGATATGGGATTGGGGGGGCAACTCCCATCTCTTGCGGGGTGCAATTAGTGCCAGCACCGTCCGTTAAGAGTTTGGGTGTAATCTTCGATACCTCCCTCTCTATGGAGGCGCAGATTACAGCTATAACAAAGGCGGCATTTTTTCATCTCCGCCAAGCTAAGCAGTTGGCCCCTTATCTCTCTCGCCCTGACCTAGCCACTGTGATCCACGCAACGGTCACCTCCAGACTGGATTATTGTAACTTGCTCTACGTGGGGCTGCCCTTGAGACTGACCCAGAAACTCCAGCGGGTGCAGAATGCCGCGGCGAGACTCCTTATGGGGTCTTCGCTGCGAGATCACATTCATCCGGTACTATACCAGCTGCACTGGCTCCCGGTGGAGTACAGGATCAGGTTTAAGGTGCTGGTTTTAACCTTTAAAGCCCTATACGGCCTAGGACCCTCGTACCTACGGGACCGCCTCTCCTGGTATGCCCCACAGAGGAACCTACGGTCTGCAAATAAAAACATCCTGAAGGTCCCAGGCCTCAGAGAGGTTAGGCTGGCCTCAACTAGAGCCAGGGCTTTCTCGGCTGCGGCTCCAATCTGGTGGAACGCTCTGTCACAAGAGACTAGGGCCCTGCGGGACCTGACATCTTTCCGCAGGGCCTGCAAGACAGAGTTGTTCCACCAGGCCTTTGCTCAGGGCCCAGCCTGACTCCCTCCTCTGGCAACCTGCACAGAATTTTGCTTAAAGGTTGCCATTAATTTGATTTTAATTAATTTTTATAATGAAATGTTTTAGAATGTTGGATTATTTGATTGTTTGATTATTTGATTGTTGTTAGCCGCCCTGAGCCCGGCTTCGGCTGGGGAGGGCGGGATATAAATAAAATTTATTATTATTATTATTATTATTATTATTATTATTATTATTAGCTGTGTCATGGGCAGAAGGGTGGGGGGGGAGCAGGATTTCCAAATCAACACAGTTAAAACTTCTCTCCTTTTGCAAACAGGAGCAGGTGGCTCTTCCTTAAGCTGCTTCAACGCCTAGTTCAACAGTGGCCACCAAGCTCAGAGTAACTCTGCAAGAGATTATGAGCCCCCTGCTAGACAACCTTTGAAAGAATGTCAGTGTGAAGCAATATTCTGGGAAGGCAGTCATCTAACAGGTTCAGCCTATTGCCTACTTTGTTTGTTTCTACCCTCTCCTGGAAGCTGTAACCCTGGAAACTAGTAATTGTGAACTGGACTAAGTATTTTTGTCATCCCTCCCCAGAGGCTATGCTCAGCCCAAGGACTGAGCAAAAACCTAATACCACCCCTTTAAGGTGGGGCTTTGTAAAATCTAGTTCCATGAGACTTTCTAGCTCATTTAAAACTGTGGTCAAGATTTTACATAGGCCTACAACAATAATAAATTACGTAGCTGAAATCACTGGCAGTATATGATAATAAATCCTTGAGAATTGTTACTTTTGTGTTGTCTGTGATTTTACTATATTTACAAAGTCAGACCTATTAATAGTATTTATAAACCATATTTCACCCAAAGGTCCCAGGGAAGCATACACACACATATTTATAGCCAAATAGTATGTCAGCTGAAATCAAAATAAACAAATCGCTATACAATTTCAGAGAGAGAGAGAAAGAGAGTTAGTTGGCAGTGGGAACTAGAAACAACATATTTACAGGGATAACCATACTTCACCTTTCATAAAGGCTGGGCAAAGAGATGTATCTTCATCTGATGCTGGAAGGAGAATACTTTTGAAGCATGACGCACCTCAGAGTGGCACATCTTAATATATGATGAGGACAATAGGGGAAAAGGTGTGAATACAGCTATTTGTGGCTTAAGATTTTAGGATATCATTAGTGCTTTGAATTGGGCCTGGATGATAATTGGCAACTTACGCACACTAGCCATTATCAAGAGATACATGCGGTGTATGATGCAACGGAGATCTCATTGGATGATTTGCCTCTAGCCATAGGAGCCAACTCCAGTGGGCTGTGAGTGCTTGGGCACACCCACAATAATATAATTGTAGGGGCCGGGCACCCCCAAGGTCAATCAGAGAGGCAGCCAGCCAGCCTCTGCTGCACTCCCTCCGAGAGAGCAGTTCAGCACTGCCCTCGACAGCCAGCCAGTGAGTTACCCTTTTCTGGGGGAAGGCTCAGATGTGGGGGCAGAGTCTCTCTGCCTCTGAGTCTGAGCCCTCTCCAGAGAAAAGGGTGTCTTGCTGGTTGTGGAGAGAAGAAGAGATGCCACCGGCAGCTGCAACACAGGTGTGTGACGTCACATGCACATGCCTACACGTAGCCCCCCCTCCCTCCAAAAACGCAATGCAGTGTTGTGTGTCGTGCGTGTGATATCACATGCACTAGTGTGTGTGACATCGAACGTCTGTGATACAGCGGCGGGCACCCACAATCCTGAGGGTGAGATGGTGCCCCTGCCTCTAGCTGCCCATTGTAATGCAGATTTATGTTCGCTCTGTACATGCAGTTTCATTCAAAAGAAACCTGTTTTGGTATGTGGATCTCTTTTCAGGAGCAATTTTTAGTCAAATTTCCATTCCATTGTATCTAATCAGCTAAAACGAGTATCTGTTTTCAAAAAGGCTTTGAGTCTCTAAACCATCATAAATAATTTAAAGATAGAATCCTGAGCACGTGATGTAAATGGAGATAAATGATTCTTAACAGAACTGATTTATATTTACAGTAATTTTTTAAGAAAACATATCTTAAAAAAGCTTTCTACTTTTGGAAACACATATGGCAACCTTACGAAAAATAGACTAGGATTCTATTACAGTGGTACCTTGGGTTACAAACTTGATTCGTTCAGGAGGTCCGTTCTTAACCCAAAACTGTTCTTAACCTGAGGTGCACGTTCGCTAATGGAGCCTGCCGCTGCTGCTGCGCCACCGCGGTGCAATTTTCGTAATCATCCTGGGGCAAAGTTTGCAACTCGGGGTACTACTTCCGGGCTAGCAGAGTTTGTAGCCTGAAGTGTTTGTATGCCCGAAGCGTTTGTAACCTGATGTACCACTGTATCTTTGTTTGAAACTCATAGGCTGTTATGGAGGGAGTACAGTTTTTTGTTCCATTACGATCTTCAGTTCCTTTCCCCAGTTTTTAATTAATTACTAAATAAGAAGTTTCTTAAGTCTAGGAAGCACCTTTAGATGCTTGCAGGTTGAAAATCTGTTTATTTTTCATTGTTGCTTCACATCATGAATTCAGACTGTTCTTCCTAGGATTTCATTATGCATTTGGTGTTCAGAACATCTATAAATTATTCTGAGCTAATGATCTTGTATCAACACAACAAAAATTGCATTCAGGGATGTCTTACCCATTGGGGTTAATGGCACCCTGCACCACGGTGCCTGCCCATCAGGGGTGCCCAGCAGCGGGAGTCCAAGACTGACCAGGAACAGCTGTGAGGGCATGCTGGGCGGCGGCGGCGGGTCTTCCTACAGCCCGCCGCGCTCTCTCACTTCCTGCCTGGGAGAGGAGGCAGCGGTGGCGCAAAGCTACGTGGTGCCCTTCTCCCTCCTGCCCCCCCTCCCGCGGCAGTAGCGGGACTGCTGAGGACGCCCGCATGGCAAGCGAGCCTTGAGCTGCCCATCGCAGGGGGCAGGGAGGGGGCGTGCCGAGAACGTCACCCCCCCCACCCCTTCCGTCGAGGAAAAAGGTGGAGGAGGGATACATTCAGATTTGGGGTGGTGGGAGGGGAAAGCTGAGGGGGGGCACACTACCATTAGGACTCAGTTCAGAGGTAAGGATGGACTTGAGAGCGTGTTCTCCATGCAGTTAGTGATTAAAAACAAACAAAACACCAAGAAAAAGTGGGCTTTAAGGTCCTATTAGATTCAGCAGGTAAGTGCAGTTAGGGCTGCAGCCTTTGTGACCCAAGTTTTGGGTTCCTTTTAGGTTCAGGATGTCACTGCTTTACACCCACCCCCACAATATTTGATAACGTCAGCTTTGTACTTAAACACAAATTGGCTGGGAACTTCATTCTCTGTGTCTTCATCAATTTATTTAAAGAACAAACTGGTGATTGCTTTAACTTTTTGATATGTGGTGATCTGAATCATGAGGATGAATTAGAAGAACTTATGCGTCTTGAATGAGTCTTGCTTTGGAATTGAGGACTTCATTAGATTTTCTTTTGCCTTTTCATTTTATTTTGTTCTAAGGGCTTGTTGTTAGAGTTAATGTGTAAGCTTGGTGTCAGCTCCCTAAAAAAAAGTCAACAACTTTGGGGTCCCCCCCCTTAAAAAAGGTTGACAACTCTGGCAAACGGGGGGGGGGGGGGACACTGGAGGGATCTTTGCACCATGGCGCCGGATATGCTTAAGACGTCCCTGATCGCATTGCAACCCTATTTCTTTGGAGATACCAGAGTTCTATTCTGAAATGTTCTTCTGTAATATTCTGAATATTAATGACCTATATTTGATATTCTTCATTTCACAATATTCCCCAATCTTACTATTTGATTCACTGCATTGTTTGTGTGGGATCTTTTCCTTCCAAATGACAGTCACCTCTGTTTCTGTCTCCTATCTCGAACAAAATGCTTTCAGGGAAGGTTTGTCATGCACATGTTATAACTTGAGCAGCGCATTTGGATTTATTTATTTTTTTAGCTGATGTACCTTATGATTCAGGGCCTCTTGATTTCACTGCTGATACAAGTAGAATCAAAATTGTCATCCTCATCTGTTTTCCTTTAACAGTGACACATAGCTGTTCATATTTCTTGTTTCACAAGCTGTGCTTATTAAATTACAATTACTTGATGGCAGAAGATTATTTTGGGGAGCTGGGAAGTTGGCTACTGAAAGTGTAGAAACCTGCTCCAAGAAGCTGTGTGAAGTTGAAAAATAAGAAGACAAAATGGCCTCTCAAGAATCTTCAGTTAGACTTTCACTACACAATCAGTTCAAGCACACTTGTGAAAGATCAGTCATGAAAACAATATAATGTATTATACTTGCTCATCTACTACTTCTACTACTTCTGCTACTACTAGTAATAGTAATGATGATATTGCTTCATAAGGCTGAAATTATATAGTGTAGCATTGAATTATTTGAACATTCAGGGGAAATAAGTCAATTTAAATTAAGTTTTACATTTGGATTTTAAAAGGCTCCCATAGTGTACTCTAGGGGGCACCAGAATAGCACCCATGAGAGTGCGTGTTAATTCCTTAAATAGCACCCACATATTATTTAAGTATTCCCTTAGAAATCTACAATGCATGGGATATTATTTGCTCTTCCTACTCAGTTCCCGTTTACACTGGTTTAGTAATCTCCTACACTGCATCCCTATTCCTGAAACATAGCCACATTTCATTGAATTCCAGGATTGGATGTGCACCTTTCCTTCCCCATTCTGGACAGAGGGGAGGTGCAAATAGCTTCTCTGTGTGAGCAAATGCAGTTGTTCCTTTCTCCCATTGATGGTGGTAGGGCATACAAGTACCATTTTTGTGGCCCTGTCTCTTTCTCTGCTCTTTTAGATGTGCAGCTATTATGTGTTATGCCACAATCCCATGGCAGCAATTATGCAACTGGCATTGGCACCACTCTCAGGAAATTTCAAATATGTCCACTAGCCCTCCAAAGGTTGGTGAACAGTGTTTGAATGGGCCATGAGCAGCAGTCTGAAGAGACTCAGAAGCTGAGAACTAGGAGCCAGAACCAAAGGGCAATCAGGATCTTAAGGCAACTAGGAGGAAGGGCTGGAGAACAAGCTTAGAGCCAGGATGAAGGAGCAAGACCAGATAGAGTTCATGAACGCCTTGTTGCTCTAAGCAAAGCCCAGCTTGGGGGGGGGGACTAGTTCTTTATAAACCTTTCTAGCCTGCAGGAGACAATGGCCAACCTGAGCAGGTAGAGCCAGACCAGAACTGGAAAGTTCCTACTTGAGAGGCTGCAGTTACGTGGCTCATCTCATGGGGCAGTGCTCAGCAGTTCCTAAAAGTGGCCATGGATGTTGACTCTTTGGCAAGGACAGGTGACAGTAGAATGGAATGGGAGTATGGATGGCTGACTTGGAACAGTAGAAGGAGCACTCCACATGGCAACATGTTTAAAACAGCACAACCTATATGCTAGAGTAAGGTATAAACAAGCATGGGGGAACCTTGAGGTTTGCGGAAGTAAAAAATATCTTTAGAGCATGCCCCTCCCCCAAGCTAAGCAGACCAATAAAGACTGAGTGTACTTAATGGACAAAGAATGCTGGTAGAATGGAGCTACTTAAATCCTGCACAGCAGCATACCACACACACGGTTTGGTTGCACACCCAATTGGTTGCTTCCTGTTAATAGTTCACAGCAGAGGAACCTCTTGGTATGCCCCATTTGCCTCAGTGTAGAAGGCAACCAAGCTTGAGGTGAATTTCAGTGTGCATTCAGTAACCTTAGCCGTAAAGGCAACAAATTTGATGTTTTATGTCATCAGCCAAGTAGGGGTGAACAGAACCAAGTGGTTCCCCTCCAGAAAATTCATGCCACTGCATGGAATGGATTGCAGAACAGCTAGAATGGATTCTGTAGTTAATTTAAGGCATGCATCAAGAGCCCTAGCTGGCCTACTCCAGGAGGCTATGTTGCAAGGTAAGCCAAGTACGGTGAAAAGATGCTTTCATACTCTAGCCATAATCAGGGCAAGCAAAAAGGTCTCAGTGCTCCATACAGGGTGGTAGCATTTTTGAAATGTGCCACAATATTTCTCCAAATATCAGTGATTGCTGTGACTATTCATTGGCTATAAAGACTGAAATGTGGGAGCCAGCTGATTTCTCTCAGAACTCACGAACAGGTTAGGCCCATTTTGCTTTGCACCTTGGGTTCTACAAGGGCTAGAGACTTCCTATTTTTTAAAAAAAAGAAAGCTGGGAATCTGGAATGGCTATTCTCTCAGGCTCCTCTGTCATACTGTCTTCTAGACCAAACAAAAAAGGAACCTATCCCACTGTAAAAGCTTTCTTATTGTAAAATAATCTGGTAATTTCCACTACCTCAAGCGAGTTCTCTTATCAGCAAAGGTGATCAGCTCTAAAGACAATTGAGAATTCCTTGGTTTCATTACAGTAGGCAGCATTCTATAGCCTTCTTTTATAACAACACTTTCAACCTGATAATATCGGTGAACAGATTAGCAAATGAGTGGCAATAGGCTTTAACTCAGTAAGAAACTTTTAAACATTTGGTTAACAGGTGGGTTTTTATTTTTTTTTACTTTAAAAAATGGAGGAGCAGCTGATGTAATTTCTTCATTCCAGCAGTCATAGGTGCAACCTGAAACCTACATACCAACTAGAAGAGCCTAACTTAAATGTCTCCTACCTCCCACCTTCCATTTTAAGACTGCAACTAAATACAGCCTCCATGCTTTCAACACCAGAGGTTTTCTCCCCTTCCCTGCTTTATTTTGCCAGCTATCCCGATAAAGAGTTATCAAGAACTCAAAAACTTCTACATTATTCTGTGACATCTTGGTTGTTCTGATACGTGTATTAACCTAATGTGGATTTTGGAACTATGCATTTAAATATCCACATTATGGATCAAAATGAAGACATAATTCTTTAAGGCAAAGAAATGAATCAAAAATATTCATAGCTAATTCCTGATTAGTGTTGGAGAGTTAAACACGCATATTTAACATTTCAAAGTCCCATCATTTGAGTTAGTAGCCAAGGCTCTCTTGCATTCTCCCTGGGTCACAACTGGTGGAGCAGAGAGAATAGACAAAAATCCCCTTTGAGAGCAGGAATCCTAATGAGGGTTCATGTTTGGCAGTTGTTCAGTTTTAATGCAAAGTTACTTTAGAGATCTAACATGCTGACATTATTGTTCTGCCAGGATTGTGCAGCACGTACTATTATACTGTACATATGCATTAAACCATAATTTATTTTTAACTATGGTTTAATGTGCCATTTTCTACAGCGGTGTTGTATATTGTAAATGGCATTTCCATGCGCTCTGGCTTCCGTCACGGTGTTCCATTGTGCCAGAAGCGGTTTAGTCATGTTGGCCACATAACCCAGAAAGCTGTCTGCAGACAAACGCTGGCTCCCTCAGCCTGAGGCGAGATGAGCACCGCACCCCATAGTTGCCTTTGACTGGACTTAACTGTCCAGGGGTCCTTTACCTACCTTATATTTTGCATACATTAAATTTTACCTTTACCTACCTTATAGTTTGCATACATTAAATTTTACCTTTACCTACCTTATATTTTGCATACATTAAATTAATTTGTAAAACTCTCATTTTTAGGTTCAAGGAGCAGGTTTTCGAGGTTGGAAGGAAGTAACATCCATATTTAATAAGGATGATGAACAACAGTTACTTACAGGATGTAAATCTCCAAAATCTAAAGGGTATGTATAATGGGGAGTGGGAAGTGATATAAATATGGAGTAAATTATGGAAGTACCAAGGCTGCTAGAGGTGTTAAGGCTAGAATCAAGATAATCAGGTAAAAAAACAATTTAAAGTTTAGAAGGCAAGAGAGTTCTTACGTCACATTTATATTATTTTTCAGCTTGTAAGATTCTGTTTAAGTTAAGGATCCACATGGGGCAGAAAAAGCAGTTATTGTAGACAATCTACTGAAGTGCAGTGGGATTTTTTAAAAACAGTTGGGTGGAAGCAAAGTACATAATCTTCTTTGAGGGCCATCAGTACAAGTCAGTCTTTGTCTTTCAACCATCTGATGCAAATTCTGTAAGTTTCAATTGAAACAGTATGCTCATTATGGTATCAAATAGAGGAGCAGATAAGCCCAAAATGACAGACACATGTGCATTGCCTACCTTACCTTTCACACACAGATCATCAACACTATTCCTTGTAAGACTTATGCTGGTTGCACATAGGAATCTACAGCTTCTCTTTCTTATTTGGGAGAAAGGGTAGGATACAAGTTTAATACATAATAATGTATTCCGTTCTGATAAATTCTGTATTATTTTATTCTCTGTTTAGCCATTTTTCTAGAGTAGAAATGTAAAACGTTTAAATAAAAATACATTTCTAGTGAGACTTGATCAGTTATACAAGGATAACGACAAAATTGTTCTGGTCTTCCTCTGTCTTAAAAGTAAATATGTCAAACTTTCTTCCCCTAAAATGTGTTCCAATAAGAACAAATTTTTATTGTTCCCTAGAACAAGCTTAAAATTAAAAGAGGATGTGAAATCCGAAAAGAAAGCTGGATTTTGGGACAGTTTGGTGATAAAACAGAACATCCAGTCCAGGAAGCCAGACGAAATTGAAGGATGGGAGCCACCACAGATCCCTGCCAGTGATAACCTCAGCGACACTGGAAGTACTCTGAGTGACTATCCATCTTGGTCAGGTTGGGAAGACGAAACCAAAGGCTCCACAAAATACACCAACCTGGCAAGCTCAGGAAATACGTCAAGATGGAGCATCAGATCAGCTGGAAGGTTGGTTAGCATAAGGCGACAAAGCAAAGGCAACCTTACTGATAACTGGGAAGAACTAGAATGACATACAAAATGTGAAATGTTCTATAAGTGATGATAAGCGAGATGGTTATGTATATCTTCAAACCAAAATCAAAACTGCTTAATATTGCACCTTTACAGAAGAGTATTCAAATTGTCCAACCATCTGCTCACCTTATCCTATGTTTCTTAGTTCTTCCGTTTTCCATATTGAATGAAGTCGAGCACCTACTTTGTGCCTATATTTCACACATATTCTATAGCACCTTGGCTCGCTTTTTTAAAAAACAAAACAAACCCCCCACAATTTAATGAATGTATACACTGGTTGAATATTTGACTGCCTTACATAAGAACTTCTATAGTTTGAAGTTCTCTCTTTCCTAGTTTTCAGACATCAAAGATCTATATTTTGAATGCTGACCCTGTTGTGTAAAAGTGCTGATTTGCCGTTTGACACTGCATTGTTTCAGCTTGATACATTGCTTTCTTTGTCCTGAACATGAACACATGATTCTCAGGCTGGAACGTCGAAGATCCTGCATTTCCCCTAAAGTCCTGAATTGCACATGACTTGTAAGAACCCCACACATACGTGTTTCTTCTTCCGTTACAAAATCTTCGCTGATGAATTTCAGGCTTCCTTGTATTATGTTGATTAATCAATAATACGGCTAAAACAGGTTTGCAATCATCCCAAACCACATAACCACAGATGAATGAGGTGACCGCTAAGATCTGATTTATGTATTCCCTAAGTGCTGTAGCAGGCAACAAAAGTAGCTTTTATATGCTTGGGCTTCACATTGCAGTAACAACATACAAAAGGGCCCATCGCCTCAATAACCTAGGTCACACAGGTACTTTCTATACTAGTACAGTCTGAAATGGGTCTCTGTGTGCATTACCAATGCAGTAGGGAGCCTACCCTTATGACCATGAGGCTGTCAGCATCTACTATATCATTTAGGAAATGTAGGAATCAGGCCCGATTGTCAGAAAACTATCTGTTTGAAGGGTTATCATTGCTTTTTCCTTCTGTCCCCATTCCCTCAAACTATGATTCCATGTTGCTCTTTTGCAGGACGTGTTTGATGTTCTCTTGGCATTTACAGAATGACAGTAGTTAATGCTCTGTCTCTGCTATGTACAAGGGTTATTTAAGTATGTGTATTTGCTGTTGTGAGGTTTAGTCTTACTGGTTGCTGCTACTTTTTTATTAATAACAAAGAGCTATGCATTATAGTGCACATGGGAAGTTGGAAATGTACTATAGGTAAAGTTTAGGGTATCTCACACCCCCGAGTACTTTCACCTATCCATTTTATTTAAAATTGTCCAATTTATGAGATTGGAGTGACATAAAGGCACTGTAATTCAGTGTACTCGCACCACTGTGACAGAAGAAGTTCAATACATCAATTTAACGTCTCCTTTCAATCATAACATAAGATATACACATATGTGTTACATGTGTGCCATTTTTGCATCTGTGATAGCCAAATTCTAACATTTAGCTATATGATACAAGATAATCTGCTGCATAGAAGACAAATTGTTAATGGTCAGAATAACCGAGCACCACAACTTTCATTTCTTATGACTTGGCTCTGCGTACAACTTCCTTCAATGGCTGGAGATCTAACTGGCTCAGAATGATTTTGCCCAATTCTTCAGTTCTTGCAAAAGGAAGTCTTAGCCCTGACACTACTTGGATGAAAGTAGCAAATTGTCAGTAAAAGAGGAAAAATAGTAGACCATCTGTTCGTCTAGCTGCCACTGATCTGAATATGAAAAAAACCATGTTAAAAGTGCCTTGTTCTATAATACTGCACCATAAATGCTCAAACCTTTTAATTACTTCCTTGTTCCTTGTGAACACTTGTTTAATACTCTGTAAAACGAATATCAATCCAAGATGCTAGACTTACCTATTTCTCCCAAATTATGAATCTTTACTTGACACTGATGCTGAGCCTATGTACCACAGCTTGTGTAATACCTTATTCAGCAATATGGACACCTTAAAAAAATTCAAGATTTGCTTCCAGTGAGATCAGCAATTTTTAAACAAAATGAAATGTTTTATAACTATGCAGACTATCCATTTTATGTTTTCATAATTTAATAGCCCATTCCACATAAAAAGTTGTCACCCAGTGACAACAGCTGATGGTAAAGTTTCTGTCACTGGTGGGTACAACCCAAAGATTTTACAGTACTCTTGTGCAGGTTGCAGGATTCTGTGGGCTCGTCTGTCACAGCTAGAGAGTGCTTGTGGAACAAGAGCTGTCCTCCTGTTCTGTTCAAGTAGCCTGCAGCTTGGAATTGCACTATTAGTCCAACTCTTCTTGCTCTCCCCCCCCCCCCCCGAAATGTATTTGAAGCCAATAGCATTTGTGCTATTTTGGCAGGAGGCCACAAAAAGCTTGTATCCTTTCCAACACCAAACTGTACCCGCTTGCTATGGCAATACAATATTGTGCTTTGTAGGGTTGGGATTTTCAGCTGTCACACAACTGAACCTGTATTGAAAAATGCAGATTTGTTTAGGCAAGCTAAAAGCAGAGGATGCAAACCAGTCAAAGCTGACGCTTGTAAGTCTCATTCGGTTGAATGGAAAAGTGAAATGCATGTTTAACTTTCACACATAGAAATAAGTAAGACTTAACACTGCTTAACTTTGGCTAGACCATGTTCTGAATTTTATGTCTTAGATATAATTGCAGAATATAGCCATTTTCTTTATGCAAAGATTTCTATAGTTTACAGTCCTTTGGAGGGCCTTCATACAGCAGGAGCTGAATTGCGGGACGTTGGCACTGAGCTCTGTCTTGGGGGAAAAACCCAGGAACGATGGGGCAAAGGTGGTTAGAAGCTCAGTGTTCACCACCTGTGGAAGCTTCCTTATACTGTGATAGGTAGGGGTTATGCCTTGCACATTATACTGTCAAGTGCCTGTACTTTACCTTGATGACATGTTCGTGATGCTACGGTTTGATTCCACATGAAAGAAATGTTCACACATTTGTGCTGCATTTAGATACCAATGAAGACAAAGAAACATCCATCACTCTAGATCCTGTGTGTTGGCTTAAGCTGTTAAACAGTCTCATTTGTGCTGACGCAGTGCAAGCTTATGCACAGATTCTGACCCACTTCTCAGAAAACAGTTCCCGTTGCTCCTCTCAGTCACATGACAGGCAAGCCTTTGCTTTAGCTTCTACAAGGCCAGCAGACCGCAAGGTGTGCCTAGCCCTGCTTTTCTACCTTCCCACCACAACCTATGCTGCCATGAACAGCAGGAGCTCTGAAGGAAGCACTAGCAGCCTGCTGCTGAGCTTGATCCTGCCCCAAGCACTGATGTGAGGGGAGATGTTTCCTTCTTGGTCTGTGTGCTCTGGAGGTGGGTGGCAGGCCCACAGGATCAGGCCTCAAGCGGGAATCTGAGATACATAAAGTATCATCTGATTTTTAAGCTAGGGCAGATTTTTGTAAAAATGGGACACAATCCAACAAAAGTTCTGTACTTTCATACCTCATTGATTTCCATGCTATTTAATGTGTTTCTCTCTCATTGAAATCGGTGAGATGCAAGTGTCCTTCAGTTTGGCTGGATCATGCTCATATTTTCCTAAAGCATCATTCTTTAATTTTTAAGGGCAGTGGTTAAATTTTAATGTAATTTATGGTTGTGCTTTTGTAGGATTATTTGTTTGAAATGAGATTATTCTTTTGTGGTATTTTATGTGTTGGGCAAATTTTTATTCTTTCAATTCTTTTAAAATATCCACGATGTAGATGTTTGTGGACCTTCCCTTTTAAAAAAAAGGCATATATCCTTCTTTGCTTTGTAAACATTTGATTTTATGTCCACTGGTTTTAAAGACACCATTACGATTGTATTCCAAGATTGCACATATGTAATGATTTAAATGTTTATATTGCCTTTTCGCTGCACATAAGCATAAATCTTGGCTTGAACTCCATGAAGGTGAAAACGCTTTATGTGGCTGTAACAAGTCACAATGCTCACAGTTTCTCTGGTATTTTATTAGTTTCACTTCAAATATAGTATTTTCACAGATGAATTAAAAAAAAAATAGTTGAAACCAAGCTGTTGAATTATTTCAATTAAATCTATTTCTCTTAAGACAGGAAAACCTGTCTGTATTAGTCACTGAGATCCTGCCCGCCCCTCTGACTGACATACTTCTCAAAGTGCCATTGGTCAATTTGTTTGATTTCACAATAGAGCTATAGAAGTCAGTTTCATGGTCCTAGAGTTTCCACATCTGCAAAAAGAACAAAGGTCCAGGGTATTACTTCCCCTGTGGTTACCATAGGTTTAGGTACTCCAATCTCAAATACTCAGCTGCAACAATGCATAAGTGTTTGAGTAAGCCATGGGCTTTTAAATGACCTCTGGCAAATGCGGATTAGTTTAACAGAGCATTTTGGAAGAAAACTACAGATCACTTGCTGCTTATTTTCTACATTTATTCTTTGCCTTCAGCCTTTCACTTACATGAAAAAATGATACACATAACAAACACAGTAAACCACACTAATTTGAAAATAGCTGTAAGACATGGTAGATAAAGGCACAATAAAATACACTACCCTCTTCCGCTTACAAGATTAAAAAGACTGGGGGGAAAGGTATTTGTCCGATGTTGAAATCACATCAAGAAAAGCACCGAACAAAGTCTCCCTAGCAAAAGCACTGCAGAAGGTGCCACCCTGAAAAATACTCTCTCCCCATTCACACTGGCACAAATAAGAGAACAGCCTCTTTTGATGTGAACAGGAAGAGGTTCAGTACAAGAAGTCCAACAGATACTGGGGTCCATAGCTGTACCCTGCTTACGGCGCAGGGTACTTTAAAAAGTCACATAGCTCACAGCTTTAAAAAATATGATTAAAAACATTTATCAGTTCTGAAAGATGGCCTGCATAACTTTCTCTGGTATCTGTCTCTGTTCAAGAAGGGCGGAAAACCTTGCTGGTGGTATTTTTTTCTTGTTTGGCTTTGATGGGAATCTTTATGTAAATACTGGTCAAGGCGCAGTGTGGTTATGCCTCCCCTTTGCACATAGCAGCAAGTGGCCATTTATCTCAGCCAGCCATATTGTGAAGGGTTTTGCTTCCCTTAGCATTAGAAGTCAAAAATCCCCACCAGGGAGCTGCGATGTTATCCCTGGCTACTTCATTCTTTTGTACAATGCAATAGCTACTGGGCAGCTTGTCTGAAACCTGCTCTGGAGTCATCACTAAGGGGGTTTGCATAAATATGGAAAATAAACCAGAGACTGATGGTTGCTTCATGACTATGTATGCAAATAGAGATCTGTGGCACCTTAAAGGCTGACAGATCCATTATGTCAAGGCAAGCATCTCCCAAACTTCCAGAGCAAATATTTGGGGTGCACGTAGGATTGCAGATGAAGGAGAGAAAGGAAAAGTCCCATTGCCTCGAACTCAAACATGGGCAGCACTGAAATCCACCCAAAATGTTGACTCTCTGCCCATTCCACTACTTAATTAAAAGCTTAATGTTGCAGTTCCTGCCTGTTTTACTGCTTCCTTTTCAAGAAAGAGAGATTTTTCCACAACAGACAAGCTGGTGCTACAATTGTTTGCAAAAGTATAATGTCCTGCCCGCCAAAAGAGTCAACATGAACAGGCCTGGAAAAAACCTAGGATGACAAATAAAAACACAGGACTGTGACAATTTGACAATTTCTTCATCGCCTGGACTCTCTAAAAAACAAGAAAATCAAAGACAGAGAGCTGGTGTGGCAGCCACTGAGAACCTTACTAATAATTAAATTATTTGCCTTAAACTAAGCAATGCTGACTACTGCACCCATGAGCACAAAACTACAAACCAGAGCTGCATACACACAAAGCACATTTTCCCCCTCAAAGAGTTCTGGGCACTATAGTTAACCCCTCAGAATTCCAATTCCAAGCAACCCTTAACAACCTACAATACGCAGATAATTATTTGAGGTGGGAAATGTCCTTCTAGCATACTTTGAAGGTATATCATGCACACAGCCTTTTGCCACCGGGCTTCTTTGCAGGAAGATTTCCTTGGCACTGCCGGAAGATGCCAATCACAAAGGTGCTACACTTGTTTCTGCTTGGGGTGTTGCTAAACCGAACTGCTCTTTGACCAACCGTTATGGATTAAACTGCAGCCCTCGGCTATTCGGTGTATCTCAGAAGATACCAGAATGCCCTAAAAATGCTTCTTGAGAAAGAAACCCTCTTTAAATGATCTCCAGAAAGATTTCACAATGGTATTTTGTACTGTGTATGTTATAACCAACCCTATTTTCCCCTCCTTTGCATGCAAACTCCCTTTTGAAACATGTTTAAACAATTGGACCGGCCCTTTTTAGAGCTGTCTGATTTCCCCCCCACAAAAAACCACAGCAGAATATAGCTTGGTGAGATGTGGGGAAATTCACTACATGATTGTGTACCCAGGGGCAGTTTGCAGAGGGAAGGGAAATGACCATATAAACCCAGAGAGAAAACATTACCTTGTGACCCATTTTCTGTGAACAACAAGAAGAAAAGTTAAACAAAGACCTTCTACTGATCTCCGATTTTCTTTATCCGCCCCCTGCTGCTCAAGGACCTCGACCCTCCTCACTTTCGCCTGCTGTACACTCTGTTTAAGGTAAACAACAGACTCATGATAATGACTTGGCAGTACAGCATATGGCAGCTGTAAACAAGAAGGAAAACAAATCAGCCTTCGCTTCCCATTAGGAAGCAAGCTATTGTTTGATAAAGATCTATGGGTTGATTCCCTTCAGCTCGAAACAGCCCTACGGAAGATTTATTTTTTTCCATTTCCCCACCTCAACAGCAGAGTAATTAACATTCCTAATGTAAATAGATTTCATATAAAATAAATCAGCTGCCGCTCCTAAGAAATGTAAAAACTATTCAGATCCGCGGGATGAGGTGGTGGCATTGTCAAACATGCCCTGTTACTATTTTATTCTTACTGTTCCCAGCTGTGTATTGGGACTTGAGCCAGGGTCAATTCTAGGTGAGCATAAAAGCCTCTTTTCCATTTGCTGGTGGGTTTTTTTTAATGAGTTTGTCCTTGAGAACTTTGATTGGCTTCGCAGAGGAGAGAGAAGAAATGCCAGGCTAGAGGGGGGCGGCAGTCAACTGAGCTCAGCCTTCTGTTTCAGACTGAAGTCACCTCATTCAGATGCCCCCCAGAAATTTCACCCACCTAAGGCCATCCTGTTTAACTAACCCCAGTCGTTTGACTCCTGCAGCACGGGGGTTTTCAGAAAAAGACTCTGAAGCCTAGTTCCCAGGACCAAAACGAGACAGTGGGTTGGCTCCAAGTAAGTCATTGTGCAAGTGGAACGACTTCTGTTTGTGCAGTGGAACTTCCTCTCCTACGCCACCACGCATATGTGCCTGCGCATGCGCGTGCACACACACAGCAAATATGCTCCAGGGTTTCCTTCACCCCCAAGAGCAAATTTGGGGGGCAGAATGTTCAGGAGAAGTCATTCCACTCACATAATGACTTAAAAAGTCAACCCTGTTAACTGAACTTAAGTCCAATTGACATGAGTGGCTCCCACTGATTTCAAAGATATGATATATTGGGACCCACTGAAATCAGTGGAACACATTTCAGCTAGGTTAATCTGGAGCCATTGGCTCATACATCAGAATCTGGTCTGCCAGAGAATCTCTGTAAAGGAGATGGGGTAGGCTTGGGCTGCCATTTAACGAGTGTTAGGCGCCGATAGGAAGGTGCTAAAATCCCCCTCCTTACCCAAACTATTTTAAAGTAGTTTATGCCACCTTGTACACCATGTATGCCATCTTGAGATCCTTGGACTATAAAGGTAGTATACAAATGTAGTAAATAATAAATGTAATAAATAATAAAAAATGATGTAATAAATATTGTCTCCTGTGGGTGGTCCCAAGACTGGAATTAATCCCCATGTGAATAAGAGGGGCTTTAAAAGAAAAGAAAAACTCGGGCTGGAAGAGAGGTTTCAGCATCTTCCCTTCTCAATGTAGGGAAATCCCATTGGAAATGGAAATTCTCCAACATTAACTGACTGTGATCTGAGCAACTACAACATCCTACCAGAGCAGTTCAAGCCCAACTTTTAAGTGTTAATTACTCCCACACAGTCCTCTGGTTATTCCAAGGCCACTGGAAGAGCATCTCTTTCCTTTCTTCTCTTCTTACCAAACATGGTAGGAAATGGACATTATTGCTGCAGGAACTTTGGCACAATTGCTGGAAGTCATGTGCACATGAGTCATCCAACTCTGTTCACTCATGCCTTCATTGTACCAGGTCCAGAGGGCACACCTCTGAAGTCCTTAAAAACAAAACAAAACAACCTAAGAAGGGTGCATTAATATCTTTACTGTGGGAAAAAATCGCTCCAGTTTCCACCCTTCTCCACCCCAGTCTTTCAACCACTGCTTCTACAGATGGCACAGACTAGCTGACTTCATTTGCTAGAAAAATGAGTATCATCCCTACTATTGGAAGGCCCACAGTTTTGTGATAGACCTAGCAGAGTTTAATGTAAGGTTCAAAACCGTCTGCCACATAGAAACCACAGCCAGTCTCAAGAAACAATGCTGCTCCAGATGCACCAGAGGTTAGATTTATATAGACTCAGAGACACAACATGACCGCATTCATACATCATGATAAACCATGGTTCTTAGCTTGCACATTACTTTTTGAGTGATACATGCTACCTGATCACTCCTACTATGCTCTTGCCCTGGAACAATCAAGAGAAACAAACCAGGAAGGCGCAGTTAAGCTTTGCTTCTAGTTACAACCAAACTAGGGATCATGGTTTCTTGCTTCCCAATAAGCCATACTCCGTAAACCAACCATGGTTTAAAAAGGTGCTAGCATTTGTGGCTCATTTCAGAGGAAAACCTATGATCCCAGGTCTGGATGTAACAGGAAGCCAGGCTTCTGATTGTGACTTGTAAATGTGGCCACCAACTCAACAGCAGAAACACAGAGGCAATGATGAAGGCTTTTGTTCCCATATCTTCAACATTCCACATAAAGGAGGGAATGTGCCATAAATAAAAACAAGTCAAGTGTACATTTTGTTGTCCAGGCTTGCCTTCTCTTAAGTCATCTTAAGCCATGCCAAAACTTTGCCCCAATGTCCTTTTATTTTGTAAAGAGTACCTACACTCTAGGCTACCAAAGTAGTTTCTCCTAGACACATCTCAACTTGGAGTTAATCAAAATTCATTTTTCAGGACCTTGCCAAAACAAACAAACAAACAAACAAACAAGACTTTGCTGTCGTTAAGAGCATGCTAAAGCTTGCTTCTTCACTTGAGCATTCTCCAGATCTTGTTGGACAGCCATACCCACCACCCTTAGATACTGATTATGGAGATGCTGTCAAACCATGCTGGGGGTCGTGTGCACAGGCTTCCTATCCTAGCTCTATCTCAGGAGTAGCAAGCCTGTTAGCTTCTGGATGTTGTTGGGACTCCAGCTCCCATCATCCCTCACCATGGACAATGCTGGCTAGGACAGATGACCACATAGACAGCACCCCATAGACTACCTTTGATTTAACTTCCACCTCCTTCCACTGCCCTTGACTGCTCCAGTTTGCAATCAACTTGCACCTTGGATTATTCATATTTTAAGCCTGAAAACAAGACCTGCATTTTATACTTTAAGGTATAGCACCTTGTTGATCTAAGGCAGGGGTAGGCAACCTAAGGCCCGTGGGCCGGATGCAGCCCAATCACCTTCTCAATCTGGCCCGCAGACGGTCCAGGAATCAGTGTGTTTTTACATGAGTAGAATGTGTCCTTTTATTTAAAATGCATCTCTGGGTTATTTGTGGAGCCTGCCTGGTGTTTTTACATGAGTAGAATGTGTGCTTTTATTTAAAATGTATCTCTGGGTTATTTGTGGGGCATAGGAATTTGTTCATTCCCCCCCAAAAAACATAGTCCGGCCCCTCACATGGTCTGAGAGACGGTGGCCTGGCCCACAGCTGAAAAAGGTTGCTGACCCCTGATCTAAGGGCAATGTGGGTTGTGGGGAAACATCTTTTATTTCCGATCAGGCTGCAACGTAAGACACTTCTTATAAGGGAAAGTTAAATCCACACATGGTAAAATTGCTTAGGCAATTGCTGTCATCACTTTTCTGTCACACGGGAAACTCAAGCTGTGCTTCATTTCTTTATTGTCTCTGCTTCAAGCACTTCCCAGCATTCCCTACAGGCTTTCGTTTGCAGTTCACAAGATGGAGACATACATATAACTGTTACCAGAACATTAGAAACTGATTGCTCCAAAATACAATCTAATTGAACTCAAACACAATCCAAGTCAGCAGCACCCTTTGTGGCCTCCAGGGATAGGAAGACCATTAGCACGGAGGACAGATGACAACATTTCAGAAGATAAGCCCTAACACCACCTTCCAGGCATAACTGAAGGTTGCTATTTTTACTCTCAGCAGAACCTCAACTTTGGTATGTTTTCCCTTCTGAGGGCAAACAAAGCCTGAATCCAGGTATCTTGCAGAAATAATAAAATAACTCATAAATCAGGCAAGCAGCATTTATGTTGGAGATAAGCAACAGGTTCACAATATAAGTAGTTCCCTCTCATCTTTAGACACTGGTAGGTCACACAACAGAATGCTAGATGCCCAAAGGCCTGGGTTAATATATACTTGTTTCCACCATCTTTTCCCTCAACCATACAGTCCTGCTTCCACGTTGCTATAGCCAAGTATGACTGTAGTTGCTGGGAAACGGGAATGAGCCAGACAGAGGGGGCTAATGGGCACTCAATCCCCTTCTTTCGTCCTTTGAGAGATTGTCAGCATTCATCAAGAAAAATTGTTGTATTAGGGTTGCTATATTTTTGAGCTCCGGAGCTTTTAAAGACATTTTTGGCATGATTTAACCCCTGTTGCCAGGTTTCCAGGACATTTGCCCCACTTCTGAAAAATAATCCAGGATGCCATTTTCAGAGGCAAATTCCAGGACATGTCCTGGGAAATCAAGACGTATGTCAGCCCTAGTTGTACGCTAGTATTAGTGAGAAGAGGGGGCACTCATAGGGTCTAACTACACAAATGCATATAGCAAGCATCCAAATATTTTAAGAAAAGATTGTTGTGAAAAAATGGGGAATCTAACTAGAGAAGCAGCCAGGGTTTTGGTATTGGAGAAATAGGTTAAATCTTCCCCTGCCTGCTGCTTCTCCATTCTAAAACCACTTCTCTTTTGGCTATTAAAAAGCCAAAGACTTGTTTGAGCTCTTAGGGAAGCCCCTCTCCTTCCACTCCTAATATGGGGATAATAGCATCTCACAAGTGAATGTGACATGCAATTATCAAGATGCAGAGGATTGTTATCACATGGCCAACTCAGCCACTTTCCTGTGGATCCAATAGCCACAATAAGCCAATATGATGATATGAGCATTTTTAAGCATGCATGCTTGAAGAAAATCACATTGATCTCAATCAAATCAAATCTCAAGAAGCGCTGGGTGCCAAGACAAAGAATTCCAGACAAGAATTAATAGGCAAAAAACATGATTTATTTGCGTACAAAACTAGATTCAAAACACACTGTGGTATGCAATGTAAGGCCTGTACTCACATGTATACTACATTAAATTGGAATGATTGTTTCAAGATTTTCAGAACACGCTGCAAGTTGTTTCTAAATTTGCCCTTTCTGAACTACACTATTACATATCGAGGTGGGGTGGGGGAGTAGCATCCAAGAGAGTGCTAGCCATTATTAGGCTATTTTCAGTTCCTCTGGAGTTAGCCAAGTTTCCACAGCAGTACCACGTAGCATTGCTGTACTTGTTACGAGAAACCACCATATAAAAGGATGGGACTACCATCAGAAAACTTCATCGCACTGCAGGAGCCAGCAATCAGCAGCTCACATTATTTAGGACACAATTAGGTTTGACATAATTAATAAAATATATTTTAAGAAAAATAAATATTCTGCATAATGTATTTACAAAATGGAGTTGGCTTCTTTCACAAGAGGATGCACAACAGGTACACAAAACTATGTTTTTTACTGATGTGCAGAACTCAATAGCTGACATGGTATGTACAAAGAAGCCTACAGAGAATCTCCTAACATTTATAGGATGTGCAAATTGTGCACAATTGAAATAGGATGTGAAGGGGATGAAGACAAAGATCAAATAAGCAGGTTGTTTTTGGTCACCAAAAAGGAAACTGCCTACAGTTATCAACTAAAAATCACTATAACCCTAACAAAAATGTTTGTAAATCATCGATGTATTAACAGTTCCAAAATTTGACTAAAACTCCAATGATTCCTTTTGTAGACACCTTCTCCGGCTTCCACCATACATCTTCCCTTGCAAAATGAAATATTCCTTCGGTTTGCCCACTACAAACTGAACATCTTACATGATGCTCTGGTCAATGTTCTCTCCTTTTGACCCTATGACATCCCTTTATAACTACAAAGCACATTCTGGGAAATATTGCACAAAAAGCATTATACATATCCTGCATGACTGTACAAAAATATATATGAAGAAATCACCAAGAATTAATGGATTGCACTTAAAATTTGAAGAGGTCTATGAAGTGCTGAGGAGAAACTGGCATGAAGCAGCTGTTGGGATCATTGGCTGTGCAGGGATGTCCTGTATCCTAAAAAAATGAAGGGCACAGTTATTCTCTCTTTGCATAGGCAGGCAGACTGTTACTGGTTGTGAAGCAGTATCCAAAGCCAACAGTTTATACATAGTAGCTGCTACTATTTATAGATATCAAAATATTGCAACAGCAGTGCCGTTTTGAGAGAAAGATGCGTATCTTGTTCAAGGTCTCCTGCTTCTATCTTTAAATCATGTATGAGGCAAGGCCTGGAGCCTCTTGGGAGCTCCAGTTGTACCCAGTGACCAATCCCATAGTTGCTCATGAAGGAAGTGCATTTGTGACTGTAAGAACATAGTAAGCTGCCTCTTACAGAGTCAGACCCTTTAGGTCTGTCTAGTTTTGTATTGACTACATTGACCAGCAGATCTGCAGGGTCTTGAACCTTTGGGACATTTACATGCAAAGCACGAGCTCTTCCACTGAACTGTGGTCATCCTAAAGTGTACTTGTGCATGGTCTTCCTAAAGTGCACTTGTGCATTATACAGTACACATTTTTCTTTAGGTAGGCAGTATAAAGAATCATGCATCCTTACTTACTGACATATCATGATGAGGAAAAGGGTGCAAGTATAGGCAATGCATTTGCTCTACAGCTTGCTTGCTGGAATGCAATACACCCTGTTCTTCATCTGAAACACACAGTGGGTTTGACAGTGTAGGGTGAGGTGCAGGAGACCCGTGGTGGCGATGGTGGTCATCAAGATTAGCCCTTTTGTGCAGCAATCTGTTTTAAGACAGATGCAGAACAAATGAAAGGGATTCCAGTAAAAGTTTGATAAGGTGTTACAATGTAATGCTTATACGTCCTTTTACTACTTATGCCAAACATTTCTTCTTCATGTATTGTTTGCACATTCCCTTTCTGTTATATAGTACAGTGGTACCTCTACTTACGTTCACCTCCGGTTATGTATCCTTCAGGATACATGGCACGGCAAACCTGGAAGTATTTTTCCAGGTTTTGCTGTGCGTGCATGCGCAAAAGTGCTCTATGCGCCGCACACATGTGCAGAAGTGGCACCTCTGGATACGCACACCTTGGGATCTGACCAGAGCTCCGGAATGGATCCCGTGCGCAACCGGAGGTACCATTGTAAATGACATGGATATAAACCTTGTAAATAAAACTGAAACCATGCAAATTTTTCCATGCCTACTTCAATGTAAGCCAGAATGAGTTCAATGGGACTTTCTTTCTCCTGGATAAGTGAAATATATAGGATTGCAGCCTAAATAAATGAAAGCATTCCTAGTCATTAGCAACCTAAAAAACACAGCCTTTAAACATAATACAACTTCTCAGGAGAATTAGCTACATTCCTGTGACAAAGTTTAAGAGAGGAGTTCATTGGAAACTTCATTTGATTACATCAGACACTGAATCTTTTTTATGTAAGGTTTAAAAAGCAGCATTTTATAGCCAAGAAAAGAATTCTAGAAATCTCAATTAAGTGAGAGAACAACATGTTCAGGGCTGTGACATTACATTAACAAGAATCTTATTTGCTTCAGCTATGTAACATGGATACAGAAGAAAGGCAGGATGAAATGCACATAAAGTACCTTGAGTAACAAAGCAAGGTGGTAGTCCTTTTGAGGAAGTCATGAAGGAAGAAACAGGTAGAGGGGCAGAGACGCAAAAGAGAGGAAGATTTTATTGGATAGAATGACAAGCAGCAGAGTTCAGTACATGAGATATACAACAGCTTTCTGCAGGGCATTCCTATCTAGACAATTTTACTGGTTAGAAAAGTTATCCTGCTTATAAGAAATGAAAAATGAAAAAAATAAAAGGTCAGGAATTGGCATCAATCATGTGACAGAATTTTTTTGCACTATGTCTGTGTCCTTGATCAGGAAACAAAAAGGGAAAATTTACTTTGCCACTCTGACCCCAGCAGATATTTAAAGAATTCGGCCACCTTCATTATCTCAAACACCAAAGATTTTCTCATAAGATGCCCGTAGGCGGACATCATATCCTCAAAGCAGTACCTGGAAGCATGTTCTGCTAAAGCAACAGAGCTTGAGTCCAAGAAAGCAGACATGAGATCTCATTGCAAGTACCTTAGAACACTATGAGAGTTAAACATCAGCGACTGCGAATGAATTATATTGAATACTTCGCCTCTCATATCTTTACCCTTTTCAGAGTTTCTTTATTACCACATTTCCACATGAGGTTCTTCAACTACCTCTGAGCTTGTAGTGTATTATTTGTGTTAAAAGTCCAATAAGTGCCCATGCAGATAGACATAAGATTCTAGCACATGCTCTTACTGCAAACATGATTCAAGCAAGAGCTGCTATATGCCACATGTAAATACATTCTTTGGAGCAACTTCAGTTGCTGCTAGATGTGCTAGTAAGTGGGATACTGGAGTACCTTGAACATACAGCTTTTGTGAGTTTCTAATGTAATGATTAAAGGGAAACTCACACTGGAGAAATCTACATGGTTCTGAAGCTTGTACAACTAAGAGTTTGTAAAATTGCTATTTTGCTATTTGATACCTCTGAATAAGGATAGGCAAATGTCATTTTTTGTTTCTCGTTTTTCCAGTCTTACGTTCTTCATATCAGGTTGTGATTTTTCTCTTTAAAAACTTCTCTTGACAATCCACCTGCATTTTAGTGCTATTTTCTCCTAATATACATTTTTTTTTGCAAAGAAATTTTCCCTGTTCTACTGTATTTTTTGTCTGTTATTTTCACTAATATATGCATTTCTATGCACTTTTTGTATGAATTACTTGGCTGGAGAACTGCACTGCAAAATTCAGAAAAGTATGAATTTGGAAAATAGCTACATTTTTGTTTGCGTATTGTTTCATAACATTAAATAGATTTCCCTTCAAACTGAATTAAAATCTCTCCCCCCATCTCTATATCTGACAAGAAAGAATCACAACCAGGCAACTTGGAAAGGAAACTTTTTGCAAATGCCCATTTGTCTTTTTAGACCACAAATCATTAAAAAGGAAAACACAGGAGCAGGCAGCATAACAAGAGCTAAGGAATGACTAACTTTTTCAGACCTATCTGTAAGTCAAGCTCCCCCACTGTAATCCCCCTCTTGGCTATTACGCACAGGCTCAGGAAGTGGAAGCTTCCATTTGCAAATATTTAAGTTGCTTTCAGTGTTGTGTTTGGCAAGCCCCCGATGTGCTCTAAAAATAAATTCCCCAAATGTTTAATTGTTAAACATAATACAAAGCTGAACTTTTACATTCTGAATTTGTTTTGAAAGCTATTCATATTTCAGACCAGCAGACTATTCTAGTTTGTGAAACGGAAACTCTATATATAAGACTACTCCTCCCTCTGATTGTTTCCTCAGTTACTGAATAGTTTCCAACCTAATATTCTAGGTATTTCATTTCTTACCTTCCAGAAGAGAATACTGCAATGGCGACAGAAATGCAAGGTATCTCCATATTGTTCCTTTATAGGGTAACATTTCTGAAGTGCAAAGAACATCAGCTTCCAGTCAATATGACCTTTTTCTGACAGAATAGGGTGCCTATAGAACTGAACAGAAAGGTAACATTTGAAGGCTATTGTGCTGTTTTAACCAGCATCTGACTCAGATTTTTTTAAAAAACTATTTAGCTATGAAAAGTAATGGAAAGTCAGATGTGAAATATTTTAAGAGACTGTGCAGATGTTGACCCCTATTTCCCATCATTTTTGCCCATTGCCCATTCTGGAGGGCTGTAGGGTATAGTCCCTGTGCTAAAAAAATATTAGGTTATTATTTACAAATGGTTATACTCTACATATTTGATGTGATCAAAGCTAGTTGTAGGACTATGCATGCTTATTACAGAGCAGGTCCAAATTCAGGAAGATTTACTGAGCAGTAAACATCAGACTGTGCCATGCATTTACACTCATATGCACTCTTAATTGGAAGCAGTTCCACTGAAACCAATGGGATTGATTTCCAAATACATTTGCTTATAATGAACACATGAGAACACTCCCATGTGTTTTCTGTTGGTATACACAGCCTCTCTCAACCCTAAAATAACAAAGTTCCTCTAACCTGTTTTTCAGCGAAATGGTACAGGCAAAGCTTTTTCCATAACTGCCTGTCTTCACTGAGCATATACAATGTGGGAGACACTTGGCCCAAAGTGATAATGTCCCAGCAGTCTGAGAATCTATACAAGATGTTGTTCAGCATATGTAAAGGGAGATCGCAGAGTGTAAGTCCATTGGTGACTTGCTGAAAAACAAGTTAACAACAGTTCGTTATAAGTTCAAAAGTAAACTCACTATTTCAGTTTGAGCAGCCTTAGGTGTGTTTGTTTTCTCCCCCCAAACACTCAAATCTAAACAGCTAAATTCATCTGAAGGTTGCAATCCTAATGCCACATAAAGGTAAGGTAAGGTAAATGACCCCTGGATGGTTAAGTCCAGTCAAAGGCAACTATGGTGTCCAGCGCTCATCTCGCTTTCAGGCCAAGGGAGCAGGCACTTGCCCACAGCTTTCTGGGTCATGCGGCCAGCATGACTAAACCACTTCTGGTGCAATGGGACACCATGACGAGTGCCAGAATGCACGGAAACGTCATTTGTCTTCCCGTCTCAGGAATACCTATTTATCTACTTGCACTGGTATGCTTTCAAACTGCTAGGCTGGCAGAAGCTGGGACAGAGCAACGGGTGCTCACCGTGTCATGCTGATTCAAACTGCTGACCTTCTGATCAGCAAGCCCAAGAGGCTCTGCACCACCCGAGACCCCTAATGCCACATACCTGGAAACAAGCCCCATCAAACTCAATGGGACTTGCTTCTCAGTAGATATGGCTAGGATTGCACTGTAATTCATCATAAAACTTGTTGAGTATACGCTTTATTGTGAAAAGAAAAAGGCAACAGTTGTTAAAGTAGTCCCCAATTTTGGACCCATTTGCCTGGATCCAAAGTGGTGTGGCTTGTCCTGCAACATCTGCTGCATCCAGATGTTGTGGAGGATGCTGTCCTGTCCCTGTCTGCCAGTCTGTATGCAGAACGGGGAAGGGGCACCATCTTGCGCTTTGCTTCAGGTAGTTAAGTGTCTTTGGGGCTGGTCCTAAATGCCAACTATTAATGCATTTTTAATGGTTCTGACTAAACCTATAAAATATACCGTTAGAGGACCAAATAAATATTTTCATACAGCCACAGTACATTTTTGAAGGCTTAAATATCAGCAGCATAGCTGTCAACTTACAGATTTGAAAATAAGGGACCAGCAGCCTTGAAAATAAGGGACCAGCAGCCAAAATAAGGGACCTGCAGCCTCACCTGTTCCAGGCACTCCAGTCTTCCTGTCCTCCTGCAGTCTGGTCAAACTCATGCTGGTAGCTCCGAGAACACTGTCCAACCAACTTTGTAACCAGAGGTTCAACTGAATAGAATCTGAATCACATGCACCACAAGGCCTATGCAGCCTCAACACAAGAAGGCTCCCCGGCCTGGCTTTGCACTGCAAAGTTTGCAGCAGCACGTGCAACAAAATGGCGTCCAGCATTCAAAAACCCCCTCAGCTGGCATTAACTAGCCACACACAAGGCATGCAAGCTCCACCCCCCAGTCGTTCTTAGACTTCTTATTGGGTGAGCAACACAGCCAAGCAACACAGTTGGAGCCTCCCTGGCCAGCAGGGAGGGAGGGAGAGGAGCTGCTTCCTTTGAAATTTAAGGGACATAATTTAAGGGACATTTAAGGGACATCCATCAATAAGGGACAGCAGCGGGACGTGGCCCTGGAATAAGGGACTGTCCCTTCAAATAAGGGACACTTGACAGCTATGATCAGCAGATACCCAGTACTTTTTGGGAAGCAACTTGGTACAGGATGATGTCTTGAAATCAAGCACTGAAAACAAAACATTGCCTATTTCACAATCACAGTTTAATTATCTTGGTGTCCGCTCTACTCAACAAATGTTGATTATTTTTTTTAAAAAACCTGCTTTATGCCTGTTTATAATTCCGTATCAGAGAGGAGGGGGAGGACAGAGAGAGGCAGACAGATGACACCCTGGTGACACCCACAGATAAAAGGATTTCACAGCTCAAACGTCACATTTAACAGAGCCATAAAAGTTGGGTATACCTTGGGTATTTGAAGATTATTGAGCTGCTGCTGCCACAGAAGGATGGTTTCCAACCGGCAAATCCAAATATTGATGTTTCCTACTAGCACCGATTTCCCCACGCCCCGTATTAATATGCACAGCGCAGAACTCAGCTCCTGAAGAAGGTCTTTGATTAGACGTGGGTTGTATTGGTCCTCCAGAACTTCAAGTGGGAATTTAGAAACACACGTGAGAATTCTTGCTTTCCTACTACACTTTACATTTATTTTAAAGAGCTGAAAAGCTGATCCATTGTCGTTTTATAATCTTAAAGGTAACAGCCAAGAATTGCTGCCCCAGCAAATAAATGCATATGGCAGGACCAAGGATCTGGGGTTTCCAGCATGATGGCCTTGTTCACACAACATGGCAAGCTGAACTATAGCTTCGCTGGACCAACTAGATGTGGGAGCTCTTGGAGAGGAGCATGCAAATGTGGTGATCCACCGCTGTCTTTTTTATTCCCACACTGCACTAAGCCAGTGCATTCCTCCTCCAACAACCCCACTCACTGACCTGCATGCAGTTTCTTGTTATCCATGGCTACTAGGTAAGTGCTTTCTTAAAACCTAAACAGCAATTGATCAAAATGCAAAAGTGTCATTTGCAGCTGTGGAAATTTGTGTCCTTACCTTTGCGAACAATTTTGTCCAAGATATTGAAATAGTTCTTTTGAGCTGCACCGCTCAATGAAGTTAACTGGGATTTTGCTATTAATTGCAAAAGCTACAAAATAATAATTGTGTATTAGAAGATGTGTAACAAATAAGCCACAATTAGTTGTGTTCTTTAGATTCCTCAACATACAGCATAGGTGGGGGAGGAAGGGGTAGAGTCCCTTCCCTTACTCCATTTCTCCCATGTCACGTTTTAGTTTGTTAGCTCCTTGGGGCAGGGAAATAGCAATCAGGTGGGCAGGCAGATGAGCTGCCCTCATGATATTTGTGTCACTGTGGCTTACCTGCATGGGGCAGGGTGGCAGCAAGATCAGTGCTGTGCAGATGTGACAGCATGTTTACTCATAAGTGAAGTATCACTGTGTTCAATGGGGCTTTTTATTACTCTTTCTAGGCTTCTCATAGTATATGTTTAAGATAAACACACATAAACACACTTTCTCAGGCAACGTTCACATTTAAGCATGAAGTTCAGAGTTGTCGTGCCAATGTCTTCTTAGCCCTAACTGTGATTACTGCCGCCGCCAATATAATAGTTGGCTTGTGGTCAAGCTCTAGAAGGGAGATGGTTGAGTGGAGGAATGTACAGCCTCTCTATTTGGCTTAGCTATCTATGGTTGAGCAAATTATTATTATTAAATTTGTATACTACCCTTCATTCCAGGATCACAGGGTGGTTCACAACATAGTATAGTTGATCCTTAGCAGCAGTATGTCTGCATTAGCCTACAAATGTGAGCTACATTCAAAACAAAGCTGCTCCCAGGAGTCACCTTTGACAGAGAAATCTGACCACCACCATCCCCGTGTCTTTGGGAACATGAATAGCCACTAAACAAAAAAATAAGATCACATTTGGTCACTTGAAGGCCCATTTTGTTTGTTGGCAGAAAGTGGCAGATAAATTATAGTAAAACAGCATGAACTAAAATGCAGACTCCTAACCAAAGCTGTTTAATACATCAGTTTACAGAATGGAAATGAGTAAAATAAAGTCCAGTATCCAAAGAGATGCTTTAGGCAGGCTCAAAGGTTTGTGTACAACCGATTCTGACAAATTTTCATTTTCTAGATGCAGCTTGCCAGGTGACACATGGGGGATGTCACTGAACAAACAAGTCTAAAGCCCTTGTAGGGAACACAGGTACAGCCAAGTAGTCCTTTGGTACTGGTCTATAATAGTTCAGAACCACAAAGAGCATCATGGTAAGACTCTCAGAGATATCACACAAAGGACCCCCAGAGAACTCTTTTCTGATTGCTTGAGACATTGTCGCTTTACAATAAATGTCAATGTCAATTTTTAATCTGAGAAATGGAGGCAATTTCTTGGCTCTGGTTTAAGATGAACTCTCTTAACGTTAGCAACCTTTTGAATATACAGAGAATATATATATATATATATAAGAGAGAGAGAGAGAGAGAGAGAGAGAATATATATATATAAATTACAGTAAGTTAAATTCAATCACAGAACTACATAGTACAAGAGCATCTTACTTTTACCACGTAATTGAACCTTCTGATGTCCTGAATTGCACTTGAAAAATCTAAGCGATTAAAAGCTTCTCCCAGCGTGCAATAGCCATGTCTCTTGAAAAGAAAAGTGGGGGAGGGGGAGAAACATGTTAGAGTCACAAAAGAAGCCTTCCCGGAGAGGATAAATGTGCAAGCCTGGAATGTACCACCCACACAAATCACAGTCCCACAGTCACCTAGCTACCCATTTCCCCAATACTCATGACATATGGGTTGGAAAGTAGAAGGAAAGAAATAAGTTGCTGCTTTGGGAGCCGTTGTTCATGCTGCCTCCTACATTCACCAGTGGCCATTCTCTCCATCTGTCTACATATGGAAAGTATTATGCAGTAGTATTGTGCTTTAGTATGTTCAAGCTAGCATATAGAAGGTATGAGGAAACACTGAAGCTTTGAAATCTGAATTACTCTTCCCTATGCAACTGCTTTGTCATGCTGACTCTCCCCCCAACCGACTAGCTAAATAAATAAGAGTGCAGCTAGCTAATAAATACATTAGCGTGTGTGGATTAATTAAATGGATAATTACCAAAAGCACATAAATCATGCCCACCACTTACTTCTTTAGTGCTTTCTTTATGAACATATATCCACTTTTCACGATAGAAGCCTGGAAGCAAGATAAGGAACACCTTTTTTAATATTCTGCTGCAGATGTATTGATTTACGAGTAAAGAAGACAAAGATTCCCCATCAAAAACTAGTATGCAATCGTATGCAAATTATTTTGCAAAAAGATTCTAACAATCTTTAATAATATGAGAGGGAAAGGTTTTCCACCAATTTTTAAAAAACCAAAACTACTGTCCTGACCACCTGTGCCACTATGCATATGAAAGCAGATTTCTCTGTGTGTATCCCTGCCTAAAGCCATGGTTTAGAGTTACAAAGACAAGTCAGTGATCTTTCTACCTCCTCTTCCAGTGCAGCTACAGAGGAGTTTGGAAGCTTCCACTTCTGACTACCTGCAGTTTGTCATGTAATAGACTTCACCCTAGTTAGCAGAAACAAGTCCATTTCAAACCAAATTTTTGATGCTAGTTCGTTTTCTCTAAGTGTAGTTAAGATTAGCCACAATTTAGGGCTCAGACACAACACTGAACTATAGTTAATCAAGAATGGAAGTAAAAACATCCAATCTCAGCAATTTTGTGGGATAAGCATGGCCAACACCACATTAATTAACAATCCCATCAGACACAGTTATGCGAATGATTGCTTGGAAGAATCATGAAAGCCATTGTGATGCAAAGAATCATGCATGAAATAAACCAAAATCTATCAGATTTAAGGGAAGCACATTTTCAAGTAAATTTCTGTAAGTCCTGGGTACATTTTAGAAATATTTGAAATGAGATCTTGATTTTACCTCCCACCAGCAGGCTACATACACCCACAATCAAAATTGCACAGATGCTAGTTTACTAAAGTTCACTATTGGTAAAAGTAAGCCTCCCTATTATTATGTTAAGAACAAAACCCTTAACCAAGATTATTTTTTCATTACCTTCCCTTCCCCTTTTTTCATGGAGTGCAAATGATTAGCATGTTACACATGTCATTTGTTTCCACTGAAGTAATTCTTAGCTACTCTAGCATTCTCAAATACATAAGTATTTGCATTATGTATAGGTTCTGCTGAAATACGCTGGAAAGCAAGCTTACACTGTCAACTATTATCAGAACTAAAAAATAGTTTAGTCTTACACTGAGATTTTGCATTGTTCCTAAAATGATCCTTTTTCCTTTTCTTGCTTGCAAATTCACAATCATCAGGGCAGTATATTTCTTCATCATTATCTAAGATGCTGAAAGGAAAAAAAATCCATTTCAAGAACCAATCCCTCAGATACAATTGAACAAACCACAGTATGTGAAGGTAGGAATGAGTCATTTGCATTTCAGAGTTTCATGTTGTTTGATGGCTGTTGGTTTTACCCGTGCAACAACTCAATCCTATGCATGTATACTTGAAGGTAAATCCCACCATGTTGAGTTGTGCTTACTCTCAAGTAAGTGTTTGTGATTTCAGCCTAAGGGTTTATGTACACTTATCTGAGCATAAGCCCCACTGAACATAATAGGCCCTTATTTTCAAACAAACATGTAAAATCACACCGTTGCTTCAAACACCTAGACTAGCAGTCTGTTTTCACCATGGACAAAATGACGTCTATGGGAAGCCTGCAAACAAGACATGAGCAAAATACCCTTGCCTCATTTCTGTTCCCAAGGAACTGGTGCAGAGAATCATGCTGCCTCTGCAGGTACCATTCAGAGCCTTATTCTCCCCTGAAAGCTGCCATCGTGAATAATTACATGTCATCTGAAAACTGGACCACCTCACATCAACTCCAGAAAAATAAAAATGAACAAGTTAGGCAGTATAATATTAGTAGAGATTAAAATAGAGGAGGAAAGATGGGTAATCGTAGGAAAAATGCCCCAAATGAACAAGAATTGTCTTTCTACAAAAAAATAAATTAGAAGAGTGTCTTTGAAGGCCCACACCATGTCTAGTCTATTGGAACTATTTTGATATCTTGAACGGAAAGTACAGTCACGTTCTGTTAGGTGTTTAAATCTCCATAGATCTATTAACTCCATATGCGTTCCCTTCATTGGACCTTATCAAATAACCCCCCTTCTAGCAAATTGAATGATTAAAAAGAGGTGGATCACATGGAGTAGTACAAAAGCAAAAGGAACCAAGAAAAGTATGGAAGGACAGTCATATGGTATATGTACATATGCTGTATTTGGTATGGTTGTAAGTGGGACAGGGAGAGGGAAGGGAGGGGGGTTAAATATGCTCTCTGTTCCTGTTTTGAAAATGCAAATAATATTTTTTTAAAAATGAACAAGTTAGAAAGCACCCATCTCAATACAGATCCTGGAGAACCCTACCTACTTACATGCCGCAATTGTGAAATCTGCCTGTAGGTTCCTACTCTGCTTCCTGTTCTTTAACCCAGTAGTCTTCAACTTTTTCAGACTCAGGGCCCACTTTTAATCCAAACATGCATTGTGAGACCCTTTTCCTAACCTTTTACCTTATATTTGCATGGTGCTAGTGCTCCTGTTGCGACCCACCTTGGATCAGGCCACGAAGACCAGTGCTTTAACCAATTACTATTCCAAATGAGGACCCACCCTCTTATCCCATAATAGGATACTATCATGGAGTCTTGGGTGAGGGACTTGGTTTAAAAACATTGAAAGTCTAAGTACAGAAGGTCTCCTAGATCACCCCTGTCCACATGCTTGTTGACTCACAAAGAAACAAATGCATGTGTTTATTTACAAACTGCTTTTATGTAGCCTTGTGAATCAATTACCAAGGAAGGAATTTCACACAGAAAACACAGAAAATATCTGTGGTAAATAATGCTAAAATAATTCATATTTTTCTGTTGTGAATTGTTTTGAATTATTTTAATAGTGTTGTTATATTATTATAAATCCTCTAGATATTCTTATAAATTCTACAGCTACTCAGACTGATCCAGTCCCAGTGATCACTACTTTAAAAATCACCCACCACCCAAAAACCCCTCATATGCAATATGTTAGTTTTTTGCAAGCTATGAAAGGGTTCCCTCCAGATGATCAGTATTTTGCAGGAGGGGTTCAAGGACATACTCACACATGGTAAGCCTCTTCAGCACTCAAAATCAGGGGTTAGCATTACACTACCTGTAATATGTCAAGTCCTCTGAAAGAGATGACAACCCAGTCGTAATGCCCTAGAGGATCAGTTTATTGACAATCTTTTTGCAAATTTAAAAAGAACCTAGGTTATAGAAAATAAAATTGCTAAAAATGAGTTTGATGTGGAAAGCTATTTAAAAGGTTTACAACAACTTGTAAATTAAAGCTTTTTATTTTCACACAGAAAACTGAAAGATGCACCAGTTATATCAACAAAAGACAAAGCACTCAGTTTTCCAAAACACTGATAACCTGAGATTGTTTCCTTTGCAAAGAAGTTAGCCTCACACAGATAAGCAAAACTGCTGAAGCTTTACAGCACAAAGTGTGCAAAAGGAAAGTAAAATTACTTTTATCTTCCCATCTTTATTCTGACAGGAAAATTGTATACATGCATTTTCCCCCACTCACCAGTGTTCACTTTTATTAAAACAGCTGAGTTTGTCAAATGAAGGTATTTATCACTGTCAATTCAGAGTTTTAAAAAGCACCCACAGTATAGCCTGAATGTTGTAAATCACCAAGACAAGAAAAATAAAGATTTTTTTTGAGGGGGGAGGGGAGAGAAGGAGGAAAATCACAAACTAATCTGGAGGATTAAACAGCAAATATGAAAACGGTATTGCACATCAAGAATTTAACAAAGCATCTTACCAACTTTCCAAATGAATCAGCGAGATCTAGAATAATATTGAATGACTTTTGAAGTATCTTCTAGTTGGGCATGGGTCTTTCTTTACAATGGACTAGCCACTATTTGATGAGCTGTTAGAGAACAGAGCTCAATTTAAAGGAGACCTCTATTTGAAAGACTGAAGGGAGATTATGGCCCTTGAAGTTGGCTACTAATAGCCAGCGGTAGGACAGCAGACCGAGAAGGCACATAGGCCACCTGATTCCCACAGACTTTCCAGTGATGGTGAGATGCATCTCCACTTAAATTATGGAAAATATTTCTAAATTTGTATATTCTGTGCAATTTTTTCCAGCTAGAAGTGGCCACCCTTGTCCAATAGAAACCTGAATTAAGCAACAGCCTACAATCCACATTTGAACAAGTTTAACATAGCCTTGCACTGACAAAAACTTGTATCAAAGTCAAATTTCCCTGATTTTCTAAGACAACTGAGGCAGAGCGATTCAATTCCACCCTGCTTGCCTTACACAAGTCATGTTGCCACAGCTGGAAGCTGTGAGCAGCATGCCTGTTCAAAAGTTGTTTCACTGCAAGTCACCTAGGCAAGAAACTGTTTCAGTGTAGGAGCACAATCCCTTCTATAGGTCTAGGTCTGAGCAACACCTGGCACACTGCTGACACCAAACAGATATAAGGGCTTATCTTTTGCCAGTTTGGGGAAATAACAACACAAACTAAGGGGCAAGACAAAATACCAACCCGTGATTAGAACTACCATTTTATTATGAATACCACTTTACTGTTAGAATTGTCTGTGACTGTTAACTATGTGGTTTATGTGAACGCATGATGTGCTTATTTAGATCATCGAATGTCTGCATGCCACACAATATAAAAGCCATCCTAATATACACACTTCCTGATTTTCCCCCCCTGAAAGAAGGCTTGATTGGCCTGTTTGTCGCCACCAGCAAAACAGGTGCTTAGGTTATCAAACATATGCATCCTTCATGCCTTGTAGTGAAGATCACACAGCAAGTCCCTCCAAGCCTGTAATTTCAAGCTTTTCACAACAATGACCTAGTTTTACCAAAATGGATCTAATAGCCCACCTTATATTTAAAACAGGCAAGTCTCCATGACAACACTGCATCAAATAAATAGGTTGTTACATTTCTTCTGAAAGCCATATTATTTTAAATAACTAAAAAGCAGCTTTTAGTTACCCTGCTCTTAAATAAAAGGTGGTGTTCCTTCTCCACAGAATAATCAGTGCATGAACCACCACACACTATCCCTACTGCATAGCGAAAAGAACAGGATATTATTTTGCAATATTCACAGTACTGTTATTTGTGTCATCCCACAAAATCCCACATAACCCAATGCAAAATCCAATAGCAAATTATTTTAAGTCAGTAACAGTAAGACACCTAACACTCTTTGTAGCTAGATGAAAAGTTCAAGTGATTTAACAATGCTGACAAATGTTTTACCAGGGGGGGAAAATATACTGCCTACAGTCCTAAGGTTTGAAGTCCAAAAGCAACAGCTTTACTTCTAAAATGATTTTCATCCCAAATCCTTAAAACTATGCTGCATTTCAACTTTCTGGGCTTTCACTTAAGTGGGCACAATAATTTGTCTCTACACTCTTCTCTTACCTCCCATTCCTTGAACAAAAGTTTTCAATGCTATTTGTTTTGTATCCTGGTGGCAGTAATGGTCATGTGTTGTTGTTGTTTTTAAATCTAAGTGCCAGCTATGCAACACTTTACATAAAGAGGGGATCAGAAACTGCCCCTATATGACTCCTGTTCCTGACTGTACCTGTAGCTTGAGCATCAAATCACTACATGAATTTGAGGAAAAGGTTCCTGCTATGATTAAGATCAGCAAATAAACAGACGGTTTCCTCTGTGTGTTAAATACAGCCCTGAGATACATGCCCACCTAGAGAAAAATAGGCATTGATTTATAGCAGTATTAAGCTAATGAGAAGGGGCCCCTTCTTTTTCTTCTCTTACACATTATGACTGATGTTGTTAAGCTGATTGTTTTCATCCTCAAGTTCTGAGCTGCAGGGCTCACATCGCTTCCAACCATCTTCTGTCTTCATCCATCTCCACCCTGGAGATCGCCAATCCTGGCCCAGAAAAGGCATGGTTTCCTTAAAGGCAACAAATGATCAATGCAACTTTTAACAATGTTGTTGTTATGTCAGCAGGATGATATTTATAAATTAACATCAAGAGAAACATTGTGGCAAAAGATGGCAACAAAATAAAAGACACAGCCATGAAGATGAGAATATAAATGGCTATTAACCAATTTGGTCAGAGCATGCCTCCTTGTGTGCAGTATTACGCTAAACATTTCCTTGCAAGAAGATGGGAGGCAACATGAAAGGAACAAAGGCCATGCCATTAGTATCCTGAACTAGTGCACACTTTTATCAGCACTGATCTAAATGGCACAATATGCTGAACACACAAGTAGTTTGTTTCACTTAACATTTTATTTATAGTCACCTTGTAATAAGGTTTTGCTAAATAAAACAGAATATAAATGTCATTAAATAAAATAAAACAAACAAATAATAGGCTGTTTCAGGAATGGCTGCATATGGGTAAAGCGGATTCATCAATCCTAAAACTGCTATCTACTATATGTTGTAACCCCCCATGTCCATCACTCTGACATTCCTCTTCCACCACCACACTTTTCTTTGAACATCAAAACTCCTGCATATAGTCATAATAACTAGTAGCCATGGAGAGTCTTATCCCCCATGAAATCTCCTAAATAGCTTTTATAGCCATCTAAGTCAGTGGATTAATGATCAGAATATTCTGTAATACTTACCAACAAAATAGGTGTTGCAAAATATTTATTCTGACTAACTCCATACACATATATAACGTCTTTCTTCCATCATGCTAAGTAATTTTGTGATATTAATACATAGATTCAATGGCACTGAACAGCAGAATATTCAGGCCGGTGCTATTTTACACAACACACATTTCATAAGATATAGAAATTAAATTCAACAATGTTCTAGTTACACAAGCAACCACCTTGCCCTTAGTTTTGCTAACCACAACTGTGTTTTCCACACTTCTATAACCTCAGTGGATGCCAAAATGGACTCACACAACTTCATTCCATCTCATATTCTTTATAGCTACTCCCTTCTCCTGGCAACAAGCAAAGATGCAAACTAAATTCTGACAGTCCACACTCCTATCACCTGCTATCCAACTCTGGCCACAACTCTTGACCAAGAACAGCAGTCTCTGTGGCCCAATTCCAGGCATGTGTCTTTGACACAGTCAATAAAAAATAATATATACATATAGAACTAACAGAGTTTGCTGATATTTGGCAAAAGCGTTATTTCTATGCCTTTAACACATACTTATTTAAGATACAATGGGTTGTTTTTGTTTGTCTTCTAAAACTGAAGTAAATGAAAATGGCACTTTGGTTAAAGAAGGGACCTTAACACAGAACTCCATTAGAATCTCCTACATTTAGTTATCAACATTTGTGACTAGTAGGCCCTGGACTCCTAACACTGGGACCTACTTTATCCCCTCTTACTCACCTTCATGAAAGAAGGGTGATCAACATCACTTGTTCCCAAACACCTGCTCTAGGCTTTTAATGTACATATTTATTTTACCAGGCCTTTTATGAACCATAAGACTGGATATCATTATTCCTATGAATGCTCTGAATCTGTTTCACTTGATTTTATATTGTTCTTAGGTTATATTTCTGTTTTAATTGATATTTTTATACTAAGCACAATGCGCATCGCTTGGAGGATTTTAAAAACATAAATCTCTTTAGAAATGTTCTTAAATATATAAAGTTTCAATGACCTCTACTCCTGGCTACACGACACACACACACACACACACACACACACATTATATACATACAGCGGTACATCGGGTTAAGTACTTAATTCGTTCCGGAGGTCCGTGCTTAACCTGAAACTGCTCTTAACCTGAAGCACCACTTTAGCTAATGGGGCTCCTGCTGCCACTGCGCCGCTGGAGCACGATTTCTGTTCTCATCCTGAAGCAAAGTTCTTAACCCGAGGTAATATTTCTGGGTTAGCGGAGTCTGTAACCTGAAGCGTATGTAACCCGAGGTACCAGTGTGTGTGTATATATATATATATATATATTCACACACACACATACACACATTATATATATACACACACATACATACATATAATATTTAAAATATTCTGTGTATAATATATACATATACACAAGAGTAGAAAACCACACCTAAGGACAGAACTGTAGGACCAACACCCCCCTCACTGCAATGGGACATGTACCCTTCCCAATAACTTTTGAGGGGGCACCACATTCATTTTGGGGGAGGGGGCTATACTACAGGCCAGGGGCTTTGGGGGCCATTTAGAGGCAGATTCTTTTTTTAAGAGACCAGAGGATTTGTGTAAAACCTGGGGGGGGGGAGAGAGGAACAAACTGAAGCCCCCCACCCACTGGAAGGACTCTTGGCCAAAATAATGAAGACGCTAAAAGCAACACACACCCCCTCTTGGCAGGCCCTGCCAGACACAGCCTCCCCCCCGCCTGCTCCTTTCTCCCCTGAGGGGACCGTTGGCCTTCCAACGGCCGCCTCCTCTCCCCCTCCAACGGCTCCCACACAACCTCCCCCCACCTCGCCTTCCCGGCCTCCTCACCACAAACGCTCCCAGCCAAGGCTGATACTGTCTCTATTGACCGAGACGTCGACGACAACAAGGAACTTCGGTTTCTCCGCCCCCCCCTTCTTCGCTTTTCCCGCATTGGCCCTCCTGAGCGGCGCTTGTTGCCACCCGGCATCCCGGCCGCCGGTTGGCTGCTCGGGGCGTTGTGACGTCCCAGGTTCCACCTCCCACACACGTCACGTGACGAGGATGGACCGGAGCACGTGTCAATGTTTTGGTCAGGAGGAGGAGGCTGGGAGAAGGAGGCGGATTGGGGGCGGGGCCACGCTCCTCCCACCGCCCCCTGGGCGGGGCTAGGAGAACTCTGAGAAGCGAGAGAGCGCGAGTCGTGCTGAGCCGGCTCGGAGCGGCGTCGCTGCTTTGCATCGGATTGCAATTCATACAACCCGCTTTAGGAACAACGTCCCGTGGAAGTAGCGCGTAGTAGGATGGAGCTCCGCAGAACATTTGCAGCAGCAAGTTCCGGAGGGTTGTGTGTGTGCTAAATTTCGCAACCTTAGGGGTGTTTCTCTGTAACCTTTCAATTTGCATCGTCTTCTTCTTCTTGTTATTATTATTATTGTATATTTACTTATATACCCACTTTCCCTCGGATAGGGATTGAAGGCGGCTTGCGGATAAAACATAGAGATAGAGAGAAAGCAATCATTAAAAAGCAATTAAACATTAATAGAATATGTGTGTGTGTGTGTGTACACACACACACACACACACACACACACACACACACACCAGTTTTAATGAACATATCAGAGTGCTCTGTAAATGATAGTTAAAGTCTTTATATATCAACCTTTTGTGCTCTTCCACACCCGCCCTGTGTTCCTGGCCATTATTTTGGATTCTATTAGCTTCTTTTAAATTCTTACAGACTTTTATATTCACCTTGTGTTTTAATAACTTTTAGCTTTCTAAATAACTTTTTAGATTTTAAATTCTGGTCTATGACTGTAATAAAGATTTGTATTGTGGGGGTGGGGGGAAGAACCAAGTTTTAGTTAAGTGTTTTTTTTACTATTTTTATACTTGATAGGGGGTGCAGCTCTCTCTCTCTCTGTATGTGTGTGTATCTATGTGAGAGCTTTTGTTTGTAAGTCACTTTGGGTTGCCCTGGCCAAGACAAGGCAACTCACAAATTTAATAAATAAATAAAATAAATCTATTAAAAACACACAGTCACAACAAAAACAGTGCCAGCCCCTCTCATTAAAAACTACATAGCAGGCAGGGATTCAGGAGCTATAGCCTTTCTCATATTGAGGTGTGACAATAGGAAAATGAGCCTCGTTGGCAGTCATGCTGCAATTAAGAGTACAGGGCCTCTAGGGAGGTAAAAACATTGGCAACGCTGATATCCTGGCAGAGCGTAGTCAGATCCAGTTTGTATTTGGTCAGCAGTTTATTAGGATAGAGCCCTAATTTTGCAGCATCATGTATCGCCATGCCTGCCCACCTGTGGAAACACAAAAAGCATTGTGAGAAGAGGGCACTACCTTGATTCCGATAAACACATATTACACATATGCTTGGATTGAAATTCAAGGGAACTTTCAAGCTGTCCCTTGGTTAAGGCTGCAGTTCTTAATCCCTAACCATTGGTAGTGCTGGCTGGGGTTGATGGTACTTGGAGTCCAACAACTTCTGAAGGGACTCAGGTTCCTCATCCTTACCATATACACTTACATGGGAGTAAGCCCCATTGAATTCAAGAGGACTTCTGTGTACATATGGTTAGGATTATGCTGTTAGGCAATAATTTAACTCACAATTCTAAACTCATTTTACTTGGAAGTATATGATTCCCTTGGAAGATTCAGGGAAGCTTACTTCCAAATAGGTGTGATATCAGGATTTGTTTCCTGTTAATCCCCATGCATTCCATTCTGCCCCAAAGAACCTTTGCTTTGGCAGAGAAATTTGCCCAGAGGACAACATGATTTATGAATGAACTTGAATGTCTTCTTTCTGTCGTGTATTTAAATCTCCGACTTTATAAAATGTATTCACTGACACTAGGCATTAATTATCACTGTTAACCTCTCCCATCAGATTAATTCTTTGGCTTTAGAAGGATGCTCCAATTACATATTGATCGAAAGATTCATCATGTCAATGTACGTCCAGTTTAAACAATAGACAAGGCCAAGGATATTAAGCAAGTCAGCCAGATAGGTAACCCCTTTATTTACTGCGGCAGCAGGACAGCACCCCTAGAGTAAGGCTGAAGAAAACTGTCTCCAGAAAAGGGTTCTTACAGCTTTTATACATTTCCATAAATGGCAAAATAAATCAGAGCAAGGCACACGCGCACATCAGTTCCCTTTGCGTTTGTTATATGACATCTCTTTCCTGATGTTTGAGTTTCTCAACCTTTGCCATACGTCATCCTCAAGGGCTTCAGCTGGTACATGGCACAAGGTACTTGACTGTGTACACAACAAGCAATAAACCTTTAGTCAGAGACATTAAACAGAAAGTTAAAAATTAAACAGACAATCGCACAGGAAATTTTCTATTCTTCTCTTCACAATCACATCTTTTTGATTTGCACCTTGGAAAGATGTCATATGAATGAGCAGAAATGGGACAGAATAGCTAATGCCAAATTAGAAACCAATGGCTGCTTTCTTGAATTAATTTGAATTAATTCAAACACCAATGAAATATGCATCAGACCTCTTTAGTGTTTGGTATGTATTGTATGTATCTAATGCAGCTTTGCACCTCCACTAGCAACTTGACCAGCAGGACACTCGACCCTACTTACAGCAGCCCTGCCCCCATGCCTCCCAAAAAACTGCTCTTGTGGGTTTGAGGATCTTGTGGAATAGTCAGGGATATGACACAGAGAACTGAAGAAGGTTGAGGGGATTTGGAAAAAAACAGGTGCCTTCCTTATTGTAGTAGAAGCAGCTATGGAAAGGGAATAAAAAGGTAAAGGTAACTCTGATCATTAGGTCCAGTTGCGGATGACTTTGGGGTTGCGGTGCTCATCTCACTTCATTTGCCGAGGAGGCAGCCCATCTAGGAGAAGGAAAACTCTGGTCCTAAACCTCTGCTGCCTTGTGGGATATCTTTGGGAGAAGAAAAGACTAAGAAGTAAAGCCTACAGAAAACCAGAGTGGAGTCCCTAAGATGGTTGGATGGTGTCTTGTATGCCTCCTTCCAGTAACTCGTGCACCCAAGCTGGTACCAAGCTCTGCTTTCCTTTAGACCACACCAACAAAACCGTGAGCGGGCTATTGTCGCTTGGACAACCTAGAACCTCATACACTGCCCAGCCTTGCGCACCATGGAAAGTCACTTGATGTTGCTAAAGCAGCCCTTGATACTGGTCACTGACTGTAATAAAATGATGGGACCACCTCTCTTGGTATTTCCCACAGAGGACCTTAAGGTCCATGAATCAGCATAGTTTAGAGGTACCGAGCCCTAAGGAAGTTAGATTATCCTCCACCAGGGCCATCACTTCTCAGTGATGGCTCTGACCTGGTGGAATGCTCTGTCCCATGAGACTAGGGCCCTGCAGATGTTAACTTCCTTCTGCAGGGCCTGTAAGACAGAGCTATTCCGCCTGGCTTTCAATTTGAACTTAGCCTGATCTTTTATTCCCCTTCCTTCCTTCCCTCCCTCTCCCCTCTTTATGAAGATTACCCACTCTGGGATCCCACAGTTTATTCTCCCCTGGTCTCTTCGTTGGCCCAAATAGGACTAATTTAGCCAGCTAGCCCTGGTGATCATCTAATGTTTATTGGATGGATTTCCCCCCTAAATTGGTTTTTTAATTCTGAATTTATTGTTATTCATGTTTTATACTGTTTTTTATGCTGTTTTTTGTTGCATCAATTAAGTGTTTTAAATTTGTTGTTAGCCGTCCTGAGCCTGGTTTTCTGAACTGGGAAGGGCGGGGTATAAATAAAAAATTATTATTATTATTTATTATTAAAGCAGCAGTTTGACTTCACTCCACTGTATCTCAAGAAAGATGGATACCAGCAACATGCCCTGACCAAATTATCAGAGCAGCCTACAGAACACAAGAAAAAGAAACTAATATACAACTCCCCCCAGCAAAATCAGTAGGAGCTGTATAAAACATTTGAATCCCAACCAAGATCCCATGACTGGCTCAAGTGTTGTTTCCATGTTTTGCATCTGTGTCCGGTTAGCAGATCTTGGACTTCTTAATAAAACACAAAGTGGATCTCACATGCCCAACTGTGTCAAGGTTTTATAATGGGATGACAAGAACTACCATGTTTGTTACAGCTGCAATGATAAGGAAATCCTCTTTCACTACAGGCAAAAAAGCATTTTCACCCAAAGTAGTTGATAGGGGGAAATGTTTTCAAGTATAGGACAGATTACTTCAAACAATAAAGCAGCAGAAACCAGACCAAGCTTGCATTGAACTGCACAAGGCATCGTTTTTTACATAACAGTATCAACTGAGATCTTTCTTTGGTGTATTTAATGATGCATAATTTCAGCCAAACAAGCGTTCCACCAAGTGATTTACATTAATGCAGTATTTAGAAGCATGCTGTTAAGGGGGAGAGGAGAACCCGCAGAATCATATCGTACAACAATTGGAGACGGTTGTGAATTCTTCTGGCAGAAATGGGAAGCAGAGGTGGCAGCAATTTTGTGGTTATAAATCTCCGAGACGGGAGGATGGATGAAAAGCATTACAAAAGTGGAACATGCAGTCATTCATTCATCCGTCAATGGAGAATTTGGCATGGTACTTCTTTTCCTTTGACAAAAGACACTTTGCAAAACCATCAGTGTGGATTCTCTGGAAACGAGAGACTGAGATCAAGGTAGTAGTGTCCCATTTACAAATTGCATCAGTGAGAAGTGGACCTTCTCATTTGCTTTCTCAGCCAACAGGATTTTTTTATTTTGTTAAAAAAAGGCTTAATCATAGCAAGTAGGCACAACCGTTTTGCCATTGGGAAGCACATGGGATAATCATAAAGAAATTAATTGTGACCACTTTTGAGGAGTTCTGTAAAGCACACATAGCTGAAGAAAGTTTGGTTGATGTTCATAATAGTGGGAGTATTAATGGAAGTGGGAGAAAGATCTTTCTCTTCCTTCCATGACGGCCTGTCTTTGGACACCAGTTGTGCCAGAGGTTGTCAAGTGAGCAGCCAGCACAGCTTTCAGGTGCCTCTTACCAGTTGCTGGAAACTGCAGGAGGGGAGAATGTTACTGTAATTGAATCCTGTTTACATGCTTCCCACTGGCATCTGGTTGGTCACTGTGAGAACAGGATGCTAGACTAGATTGGCCATTGGTCTGATTCAACAGGCTATTCTTATGTTCTAAGCCAGGACAGGAGTGCTTTCTGGAAATCCAAGCCAACATTTGCAAAGAGAAGCAGGGTTGGCATCTAGCTTGCTTGTCCCTCTGCAGAGGCCAAGGCAACTTGCTTTTCTCAGTCTTAATACTGTCATGTAATTCCACTCAATAGTTATCCAGAGTAGATTTAAATGTATAGTTAGCAGAATGAAAACTTAAACACG